TTTGAAAATTCCAGCTAAGACCCCGACAAGCAAGAACCGACTGTAACACGATCAGGAAGAACAGTCAAAGTTCCTCAAAGATACCAGCATTAATTGAATGTTTAATAAATTCTTTAGGTGTTATTTCTTGAACATTTAAGTGTGTTCCAAGCTATGGCTTGATTTGGGAAAAAAGGGGGATGTAGTGATATTGCATATTTTATGTTGATTTAATTCAGTGCCCGAGTTCATGACCTTTCATGCAGTTATTATCTTGCTCTGGCCTGCCCCTAGTGTATACAATGTATCTTGTTTTTCTGGTTTATGAAGTAAACACAGTACTCTGAAATATCGAGTTTATTATGGATAATATTCTACACTCCGGTATAGAAATCAAGGGTAGAAATAATATTACACTTACAGCGGCGAGGAGTCCAGCAATCTTCTCACACATAATTATCCCCCATGGGATTCGACCTGCGAACCCACGCAAGGTAATCAAAGGTGCGGTGGCGAGCGTGTTGCTATCGCTTGCCACGATTCGCCACACCGCCGAGCCGAAGCAATGATCACAATTTCAAATCAACTAAAACAATAGTTTCGATTTCTTTGCAATAAAAACAATGTAAGCCAATAGCTACAAGAATTTAACAACCTCCTAGGTACTTCTATCTATGACTTTAATTGATAAACTTTACATGAACATCCGAAAGTTTGCAACCACAAAAAGGCAGAGTCATATCCGGGTTTATAGCCGTGTTCGTAGGTCACCAACGTATCAATAATGCTTGCATAGGAGTGGACGACAAGTATTCATCCCGTGAAATGACTCTACTAATTCATTTTTATATCACGCTGATTTCACTTCTTTCGTCTTGAACATGACACTGATATTTAACGATGTGTAAGGAACTATTATTCAGGAAGGATTTAAGTCTAGCACGCTCCAACCAACAAGCCTCGGCGCCCATTGTCTTTTATGCGTAAAAACTCCTTTCTGCGCGTGGAGAATGAAATCTACGAATGCAGAAAAGATTGCTATAATTAATATAAATAACGTACTAGAACTGACCTGATTGTAAAATGATAAGTAATTATATGTATATATCCGTTTGTTTTTACTTTTCTTCAATTCTTAACTAGTGCTTTGTTTCCGGTTTATTATAAATAGTAAAAATTTATGAAGAAGGCAATGAAACTATTGGTTTATTTTATTGTCCTACTGACGATAAGAGGCCAACTCACAGTAGATAAGGTTTCTACAAATATCTGTTTAATTCATAGCGAGAATTGAATACTGCACTTTATCAGCAGCATAGGCTAAATGTCTTGCGTAGCTACCATAAACCAGCTGTATGTTACCCCAATATGCCATATACGGATGAGATCATTATAAATGAGAGCTGGGACCATATTCACCACTAATTCCATATAAACATTCAATAAAACATATCATATTATTTGTATATCCTCATCTCCCTTGTGATGTTTCGTTAATATTAACTCTCCGGCCTTACTTTGGCTGCTCCTTGTAAATAAGAGTAGTAGGTCTTGTTCTTATTTATTAGACATCGAAATGTATTTGTATACAACAGTGTCAAAATTTTATATCGTTTGCCAATGGTTCATTGACCTAATATATATGAGAGCTATATATCTTTTGTTTCACATAATTATATTTCTTACGCTGTTCAGCTTTCATAACAAACAAATTATATCTTATGTCAATATTTTAACGTATGACTTATGCCGAATCATTTCTTCAGTAATTTTTGTTTAGAGTGTTGCCAGGTACCAATGTTCTGTGACAATAAACCAGTTTGGACAGAGCTGTCCTCTCATGTACAGACATCCTGTGAGGTAAATTATACTCGGATTATCATTACTTTCGGATACGAACCACGGAAACACGTATATAAAAGAAATATGTAAACGCTCGATCACTGTTATTTTATTAGTAGCGGTCGGTGTGGCATATTCTTCAGAATGCAGTATGAACACGAAGGCAGATATCAAATTTGAAATATTGATTATACCTATACGCTGTAACGCTGTACGTCTGTATACCCATTCGCTGCATATTTTTCGGAATGCAGTATAAACTCGAAGGCAAATATTAAATTTTAAATATTATATACCTATACGATGTACGCCCGTATACCCATACGCTGCATATTCTCCGGAATGCAGTATAAACTCGAGAGCAGATATTAAATTTCAAATATAACTATACACTGTAACCAATTTACGACTATTTGTCTATATTTTATCCATTTATCCGATATTACATTGTTTTTTAGAATGAAATGACTACGCAATTGAATAGTAAGTAAAGCATATTGGGGGTTCAGATTTGTAACAAGAAGTTTGTCGTATTCAATACTATTTGAGTCAAAGCTGTACTGTTTATAGATGCCTAAAAATTATAGTTAAAACTAAACAAATTACCGGGCCAAGGCGGAAATCGATGTCGAAATTTTACACCAAAACTAAAAATTATTGTAAAAGCGCTCTCATGTTATAAATCTTGTCGTTTTGCAATGAAAAGTGCTACATGATTGAAATTTCTCTCGCAGCGGGGCCCAGATTAGTTTAAAATTTATATAGCATGTCTCGGTTCGAAGATTGATGGGCCTGTTATACAAAGTAGCGGTAAATGGTTGGAAACTACGTCAGCAATACTGGTATATCTTAATAACTTTCTTATTTACCGGCAGTCAACCAGGCACAAGACGAGCTGCATTGATGCAAGGAAAGAAGTTGGTTGGAGGCTTACATTTAAATTGGGCATTGACGTTTCGATGAAAAACAATTTATTACAAATTGGAAAGGAAAGTTCGCATGTCCGTTCCATTATTCACAAGTTCGCTCAAACCAATGCCAATACTCGATATTTGAAAAATCATCAAAAATAGAGGAGCAGCATTATCCGCCTCCTAGTAAGTGCCCGAGGAATACTCACTAGTCTACTCGTAGTGTGTGTACCAGGTTAGGGTTAGGTCATAATATTCTTCCAATTTTCACTATTTTAGTTCTATTACGAATTCACGGACTGTCTGTGTAAGCCACGTGAATATCCCCCCGCCCATAGGTTTCAGTCTCTTTACACTACTAGATGTAAAGTAGGCGAACAAAATTAGTTACCTTCATATTGGTACACAGACTTCAGGGCATCATGTACACAGCCATGTTCGGGACGAAAGGCGTAGATTCAGCGTGGTATAAAAATGAATTAGACGCGCCGAGAAAAGGGCGCTACGGAAGTATGTGCACCACGATGGCGCAAAGCCTGAATCCTAACCAGATACAACACTATGTTCAGATTGTGCGCCATATTGGTGCACAATCTATGTTCACATACTATGCGCCGAGTAAAGTATGTTTGGTATATTGCTGAGATAACTGATATCAAATTTTGTTTTAGGACGAATAGAAGAATTAAGGAAGCAATTGTATGAAATAGAAAAACAAATAGTATCGATGATGCTCAACGCCCTTTCCTTGTGGTGGGTAACAACATAGATATTTCATAAAGTCATGATCAGTATTTGAAAGTTTTTCCTGTTTCAATCGTTTTATTTGCAACGTTCGTTTTAAATTTTTTGTGTATCCGAAGCATTTTGATATTTTAGCTCAGGCGTTTAATCACCACTTTATGTTTGGATTCTTTGCTTTATTTATTATTAAACGTGAATGAACAACAGAAGAGAAGAAGATAGTGAGGCGAAACTATGTTTTATTCGAAAAACACGTTGGATAGAACGTAAATAAAGAAATAAATGAAAAATTTTAAAATGTAAATATCTAAAATAATGCGGACAAGATCAAATCTAACAAATACTTTATATTTAATTAACTTCACGCCTCCTAAAAATTGTCTATCCCCCCAAGTGGGGAAGAACAGCTGGTCTGAATCAACAAAAAAGAACGAAATTGCAATTTCCAACGACATTCCGGTAACGAAGAAATCCTCAGAACCCCTGATAAAATGGAACTTTGTTGTCCATCTTGGTCTGTCTGAATTACGTGCCAAGTGCAGGACGAGCGCTTCCTGAAAATGCAATCAGGCGAAATCAACTTTGCATGCAGGGAATTTCGTTATTTCTCACGACCAAAATACCTGACAGTCTAAAGAGTAATCTCAAATACAACAATACCGGCAGTTGAGCTGTTCAAAATTTTAATAATGGGATTTTTTTTAACGAAATCACTGACAACACGTCCCCCTCATTTTAGAAAACCACCCCTCACTCTCTTTTTCTGATTGGGAAACCCCTTTTTTCAAATTAATCGAACCTCAGCTAGTCAACAAACAAATTTGAAAAAATGAAAACAAGAGATAATGCTAACTAAATTAAATATTTATTGTCGCTCTAGGCCAGTTTTTACCCAACAACAAAACGAACAACCAAAAATTTCCTTCATCAAAAAAAATCGGTCGGTTTTTGATATTTATTGAACTCATTTAGTTCAAGAATAATTATTTCAATTATATATATAAAATCTGCTATTAATTATAAGGGTATAGCGACGTCTCTATTTGTGTCTCCAGGTGATTGACCGTGTCGTCACGTTGACCAGGTTTACATTATGGGCGCTACTCTTCTTTTAACTGCGACAAGTGTCACAAGTCACAGATCTCAGACGCAAGATTCTGCCTGACATCTGAATCTTCAATCTTACTTGAAGTTGAGTTATTTATCGTTTTATTCCGACTCGTATATTTCTTTTCGCAACTGCGCCATTGCGCGGTAACACCAGACCATTTGTGCAATAAAATCACATTCTTGCACACTTGAAACATTACCTTTTCGAAGCGTGGCTCGTTATATTTTCTAACACCTAGCTAGAATGTCCAATCCATATTTTCAAGTTAAATATGTAGCCTACTTTGTTCGACAATATATTAGATCGTTGTAATATTCCACATTGTTTATAAATCATGAAAAACTCTGCTCAGCTTTAGAATATTCTTGCTCAGTAAAACAAACATTTTCTCCGTGTAACATTTCCTTATAGGGAACACTGGTTGAGAGTTTGGTAAATTTACGCTCTGTTAAAGTAGGAATGTGCAATCTTTAATACTGAAGGCCCATGTTATAAGCATAGATATTACGTTGAACTCGGGCATGGGCTTTGAACGTAAAGGGATTGGAATTACTAGATTTAACTAAATTAAAATCTCGTTACTCGGGCTGCGCAATGCACACTGCACACCATTCAAAATTAGCATTTCTTCGCGGCTGCACATTTTCCACTTCTGATCCGCACCTGCACCCCCTTGTGTTAAAAGTATCTCGATTATCACTCAAGCAAGAAAAGATAAAATACAGTTACAAATTACGATGGCGCCACTTTTATTATTTTTTTTTGGTTTTTTAAATCTGCGATATCTGTATGCAACAATAAAAAAACTGAAGCATAAAATTAATAACTGGGTGTCGGTTTGTCGGTCTGTCCGTCAGGAAACTCCATTTTACTGATGTGATAACAGCAGCTCATCAGAGTCTGCAATTTGTTCGAGTTCTTGCTCAGTCATGAATTGGTTGAATTCCTCTGAAATAGAAGAAAAAGACGTTTATACTGTATGTTATAGGAGAGAATCACAAAATCTTGTCACGTGCAGTTAAATCAGAAAATATACCCATCAGATTAGTGGTTATCAAACGGCGGAGCGCGCCCCAAAAGGGGGGCGTAGACAGTTTTTTGAGAGGGCGTGAAGCTAATTAAAAATAAAAATACTTATAAGATTTTGTCTTGCCCCACCTAATTTGGATATTTACATTTCAAAACTTTTTATTTATTTTATTATTTACTCTCCGTTCATGTTTTTTTAACGTGATTTTGAACTAAACATACTTTCGCCTTACTATCTGTTACTTGTAGATTATCGTTAGCTGGGTATTTTTGAGGTAGTGCGCGTGACTTGACAATCACTATAAAAGAAGCGGGGCCTAAAAAATTTGAGAGCCACTGCGTCAGACTATCTAGTCCACCGGGAGTATGTACTGAACAAATGCCATGTTTCTCATTTTTTTTTATAAAATGACGTTCATCAAGCCCTATACAGGCAAGCACCACTGATATTCAGGGATGTGAATTAGCAATAAAACAACACTATTCGAGTAAAACAGTGTGACGTTGTTAAGATCCATCGTTTATATTATAAAACACATAAAAAGCGACTTACCGTCAGGCATGCTGGCAAGTTCGTCCAACATTTCCATCATGATCTGAGCTTCACCATCTCCAGATTCTGTCGCAATTTCATTAGCGATCATGGACATTGCGTTTTTATAGGCTTCTTCGTCCTTAACAAAGAGAAAGTTGTGCTGAAATTTGGAAGCCACCGAACGAACCAGGGTCAAAGGTTGCCGTGTTGTGCTTCGAGGTTTGAACACGCTTGCTATCGCCCTCGGATTGCTCTACGTGAGTTAGATGGTAAGGTGACTCGTAACTAGACGACGATAAGCAAGATGTTGCTATTCAACAACCTGCTTTAATGATTAGTAGCGAAGAGGTTCACTCCATGTAGGATTGTGCCAATAATATTTTGTCACGGGCATACATGGTAAAGCAAAGTATTTATACGACATTGACGATGTAAATGGAAAACTTAACCACTAGCTTAGCTAGCTTCATCTCAAACAGATTACAGCATATTACCTTCTCTCTGAGCTCTCTCAGCTTACTAATTTCTTCTTTGTTGTTCCAGAAAGGTCTGAGATATTTTTTGCCCGCTTCTATTGCAATGTGGCCCAAGCTATAAAAGTAAAGTGTCGTAAGTATTCAAAAAGTATATAGACAGGGTTCGTCGGTTTCATTATTTTTTTAATTTGACTCCTTGCACCGCAAAAGCTAACCATCTGAGAAAATTGATATTCGCATTTATACCACGAACACAACGAAAACTAAACTTCCACGTAGATTTTTGTACTTTTTATCGTTTAAAATCGGGTGGGCAAATTAGGCCCCGCGGGCCGGATCCGGCCCATCGGAGTGTTTCATCCGGCCCACATGTGCTTGCTGAAATTTTAGACTGTAAGTATTTATTTGCAAAAAATTTCGTTGAAAAATATCGATGAAAAATACTTTGGCTTGAAATAACGTGCGTAACTTGCCACTTGGATTTAGGAAAGTAAGTGCCCACCCCTTGACTTTAAAATTTCTGCATCAAATGCTATTCTAAATCTTAAAAATAGTCTTGAATAAACACACTATCAGTCGAGTATTTACACCTTGTAGTTGTGTGTTTGTCTTCTGTGTTGCCCTTTTTGTACCACGGTGGAGTATAAAACACGTTACGTATCTATCTTATTCTAAAAACTTTATACAAAATTAAAAACATTTAATAATTGGCGCTCCAGAAGTGTGTGTACCAATATTGAGGTAACTAATTTTGTTCGCCTACTTTACATCAAATTGTGTAGAGGGATTGAAACCAGTGGGCAGGGGGTATATTCCCTTGACTCACACAGACAGTCCCCGCACTCGTAATGGAACTAAAATAACTAAAATAAGGAAAATCGTAATAAAATTCTAGTCTAACTTAACCTGGTACACACAATACGGGAGTATCAAGAATTCAACTGAAATATCATAAATTTGTCGCAAAGGTAACAAACTGTTTACGTTATCAAATTAAATATTCATAAGAGCAGTGAGAATGAACTTACGGATTCTTTCTAACTTTTTTGTAGATGCTCACACCCTTCCTAATTATTTTTCCTACTCGTCGAAAGATTCTTTTGATTTTCTTCCAGCCATGAGACTCCTCCACCAGTAGGAGAGAGAGTGCGACAAAGAGAATAGCTGCAACTTTCAGACGCATTTTTCTTTGAAGATTTTGTTTATTCTGAAACGTATAATGTAAACAAATTAACACATAGCGAGAGGGAGAGGTTTTATTTCCTGCAACAACCAAAATAAAATCACTGTCATCATAATAATTAAAAAATAATACCAAGTGATAAATTAGTTTGGTATAGACAGGAGGGACTCATACGACCAGGCGGTCATCAATGACCACAGTTAATGCCAGAAGAATGAGAAAGGCTAAATAAACGATATAAAAAACAGTATAGAATATTGATTCGCATACATTTGGACTAAATTCTTTAGATGAGTTAAGCGACTAGAATCTAAAATCCATCCTCAATCATTTTACTAAAAATCAACAAAATAGAAGTTCGAAAGATCAAGTATTCAACATAATGCCTTATAGCAGGGGTCGGCAACCCACGCCCCGCGGGCGAGATCCGGCCCGCGAAGTAAAATAATCCGGCCCGCGACACCCGTTGATAATCCGGCCCGTTGATGACAAGTGCAAAGTGTTCAATGGCGCAGAAAATAGTCAAATTATCTGAGGTGAAATTCAATGAGGAAATAAATCTATATTCTATTTGAGAGATGTATCACTGCTTGATGTTTATAAAGGAGTTACTTCAGCCGTTCGGTTTTCAACTTTCTAAAAATATGTGCGACCCGTCAAGACTTACAACCCTTTATTTTGGCCCACGAGTGACAAAAGGTTGCCGCTCCTGCCTTATAGTTTATCTCAGTTTTACCGCAGATTATTTGACTTGAGTTTGAATACCGATGGACAAAAACTATTTGCCAAAAGTCAGCGAAACATAGAGAATTGAATGAATCTAATTTGAAGCAACCTCGCTTATTTAATCTCAGTTAAGCCGCAGATTATATGACCTAGTTTCGAATCCCGATGATCATAGCTACCTCGTTTCTTTCAAACAGTTTGCCTTTGCTCTTCGGCTTGTTGTGTTGTCCTGCCCTACAAAGAGTGGCTTTATATCTTCTACCTGTATGATCAGTATCCTGCGCATTTACGACAAAATTAATAATGACAATAGGTAATAAATCTATATTAAAATGCTACAATAATGATGCATGTATGATTTAATGAATGGGTTTCTATTGACCACAATGCCCGCCAATTCAGGCGATGTCTTATCAAATGGCACAATAGCCTGCTTATAGTCTATTCAAATAATTTTAGTTTAATTCATCCAGAATCTTATTAGTGTTTTGTTTTCTTTGATTAAATCTTCATTAATTTTTATATTTGCATCTGTGTATCTATTTCAATAGTGAATAAAGGCGCATGAATGCATTCTCACATAAGAACAATTGCCGACATCTTGGTTTCCTTTCAATTATACAATGATAACTCGGTAGTTGAACGACTCGATACTCGTACAATTTGGTAGTCGACCAAAAATGGGGGAGGAGACGTTATGCTAGCAATATATCGAAGAGGTTTTATAATATGTATGTGCGCTCAACATTATTTATTAAATGTATTGTCAACTGAACACAATTTCCGACTTTCGAATCTTCAATTTCACTTTCATTTCATTCATTCCTCAATTCAAATTATTCAGAGATTGAATTAGTCGCAATAATCCATATGTAACGTGTTATATATTGTCTTATGTATTATATGTGCAATATGTTCACCATGATTGACAGCTAGTACGCTATTGTAAAACGATGCAATTGAATACCTGAATCCTGAACGTTTCCGCACTCAATTATTTCATATCGAATCCGGATCTGTGAATACGAATAACTCATTTTTTACAACAACACAATTGTACCTATTTACACGATGCTTATTTCTCTAATGGCACGATTGCCTGCTTTGAGTTCTTTCAGTTAACCATTATAATATCTATATCACCCACAAATTGCTGATAATACGTCATTGTGAAACAGTGCAATTTAATATCTGAAGAACCTAAAGGTTTCTGCGCTAAATTATTTCAAATCGAATCCCAAACTGTAACAAAAAAAACTCATTTTTGAAACAGCACAATGATGACTATTCACGTTATTTTTTCAAATAGCACAATTTAGGTCGCTCCAGAAGTATGTATACCAATATGTAGGCAACTCATTTTGTTCACCTATTTTACATCAAGTTGTGTTAAAAGGGAATGAAACCTATGGGCGAACTCGTATTAGAACTAAAATAAGAAAATCGGAATAATATTATGGCCTAACCCTAAACTGGTACACATACTAAGGGAGTGCCCAATTAGGTGCTTCGAGTCATTTCAATGCATTCTCATGGACACAATTGCGGACATCTTGTTTTTATTTCAATTACCTTTGATTCCTTTCACAATTGAGTGCCTGAGAGTATACTTTAAATTAAATATATTGTATTAAATCGGGTTCACCCCAATAATGGTTATCTGTCACTGTGTAACTGTTTTAATAGTGAATATGGAGGAGAATGAATGCATTCTCATGTGATTGGCGACATCTCGGTTTCCCTCTACCAGAGCGCGCGCGTTGGTTTGTTTGCCGGAATTTTCAGATTCAATCATTTTATTTTTTACTAGTAATATATATTCGAAAAAAAAAGAATAAAGGCCCTTCCATCAATTGATCTGCTGTCTAATATAATATAGATATTGTGTTATTTGATTTGAATCGCAAAGACTTCTTCTATCTACCATTTGTAAACTTTTAAACCTGTCGAAATTATTTCACGCTAGATAGGATGCAGGATATTGGAGAATTTTAAATTTGTCACGATTCTGCGGTTCCTGCTTGCTTGGCAGAGATAATTAGGCCATAAATTGGATATACGTGGAACCTATTTTATTTTACATCAATTTCAATAGTAAATAATGGGGAATGAATGTATCATAAAAGAACAATTGGTTTCCTTTTAATCAGTACTCCGGTAGGTTAGGGTTCGGCCATAACTTTATTTCGATTTTCCTTATTTTAGTTCTATTACGAGTTCGGGGACTTCTTGTGTTAGCCAAGTGAATATATCCCTGCCCATATGCTTCCGTCCCTTTACACAACAAAAGTAGGCCGAAAAAATCAATTACATTTTGGTAATTGGTACATTTACTTCTGGAGCGCCTTCAATTACACCGAAGAGAAATTGTTTGTTCTTAGGAAACTTCAGCATAATCATATACTTTCGCGCTACCAATATATTTTGAAAAAGAAAACAGGAGAAAAGTTTCTCTCATGAATTGATCTACCGTCTAATATAAAATATATATTGTGTTATTTGATTTGAATCGTAGAGACTCCTTCTATATATCTTTCCGTTGTTTTATTCTGTCGGAACTAATTACACGCTAGACAGGATGCGGTGTACAGAATTATTTCCGATTGCTTTCCGATTATGTGATTCCCAGTAGCTTAAAGGAGAAAACTGGTTTATAAATTAAGATACAACACGAAACATGTATTAACTGTGACTGAGACATTCAGAAAACAGCAATTACATCTGTCATGCGCCAGTAAGTGTGAACCTGGCTCATGGCGGCATAAAAGTAGGAAAATGTTTATTAAACCTACTTTCGGTGAATCATATATAGTATATACAACATTTTGCATTTGTGCTTACTTGACATGTTTGACAGGGTGCGTGACATTTTTGGTTCGTTAAATATTAGAACGAACAAAGCTTGATGAAAAGGCAATAATATACAATCAACCAATCGAATTTTCTGCATAAACACTTGGCAGCGAGGTTTGAACAATTCAGTCATAAATAATGAATATGTTCAAAAAGGCGCTCACATTAGTAAAAATAAGTAATGATTTTTGCTCTTGTCGCTCCGTTCAATGTTCCGCCGTTTCGCCCGGTGACTTTGAATCGGAATAAAATTATGGCCCAACCCTAACCTGGTACACATACTACGGGAGTACCGCCAAAGTGATAAAAAAAAAACATTTGATACGCCGATGAATAAAGCAGGCCTAACCCATGTATTCTTAGTTTTCACGGACTCCTATGGGGCCCATCATATATGGGGTAGAATCGGGTAATGGGAATTTGGCCAAGATAGACCACCACCGAAGCTTGTTTGTGGCTTGCCAATCACCACGCGAAGGCCAGTATTGAGTTGAGGGAAGACTTGTCAGACGAAAGATAATTACAGAAGTCATTAATGTGTATTCGTTTATTTATCACTTTTGCTGTATATATAACATTCAATTTTGAAACCCACTAAAAAAATATCTTGTACAATCACAAAAATTTGAACCAGAATAAATTTGAATATATTGAAGCATGTTGAAATTGTGTGTTAAGTCAATCTTAAGCCAGACTTCCAGTCGAATAGACATGCAGTCTGCGGATAAAGAGTAGCTAGCTGCCTTCTGATTGTCCAGCTATTGCCATGGCTTTTATGACTGCACAGGTACCTCCGAAGTATTTGAACCAAGTTGGCGGACACCGGAACGTGGGTTAGGCCATAGTTACAGGTACAAATACCACGGGAGTCACTTGGCTAGTCCCCGAAATTGTAATATAACTAAAATAAGGAAAACTGGAATAAAATTATGGCCTAACCATAACTTGGTACATATACAAGGTTCAGGTCTCCGCCATCTTGGTTAACATACTTCGGGAGCACCGCCGCACACGGGTGAATCGATTCCGATAATTATAGAAATAATGAGAGCTTTTATTATGACGACCTTTCATCCCCAACTAAACAAAGCCCAGTACCAAGTTGCCAGAAGACGTCCAAGAAAATTTTGTTGAACTTCTATTATTCGCGGCGCAATGAAAATCAGAAACTGCGAAAAATCAACAATATGCAACGCCACAGAATCTAGTCGTCGTAGCCGCACCTCCAACGCAACAAAGAATGCAGTAATTATCTTGTTGAGAGTTTTTTCAAACAAAAGATAATTATATTTATGACATGTATGGATATGTATCTTTCGTTTAATAATTATTATTTTTGAAGTCTAAGGAAACAATATCTTTGACACTCAAGAAATATAAACCAGAAAAGATTTAATAAATGAAACTTATAAAATCTTGCATTAGTTCAATATATAGACAGATTTCTAGTAGAATAGACATTTAGCTGGAGAATAAAGGGAAGAAGCTCCCTTGTAGGATCGAACAGTCATGGCCTTAGAACAGTGGTTATCAGACTTTTTAAGTCGCGCCCCCTTTTTAGAACTTGTCAAGGTCTCACGTCCTACCTCAAAAATAGTTAGATAACAATAAGCTACAAATAACAGATAGTAAGGCGAAAGTATTCAAAAAACACGTAGAAAATACTTGTATGGAACGTAAATATCCAAATAAGAAATGTAAATATACAAAAAAGACGAGCACTATCAAATCTAACAAATACTTTTATTTTCAATTATATAAGTCTCCCATACTACGGTTAAAAATAAGGAACAATTTTGTATTCGTGTCTGATTTGAAAGTCGGATTTGGAACGATTCAAGATATAAGTGTTATAAAACGTTCAGGGTTCAGGTATAATTAATAGCACTCTCTCGCAATGACGTATTGGCAGCAATTTGAGAGTGATATGCGGATTATAATGTTCAACTGAAGGGACTCAAAGAAGGCAATCGTGCCATTGGTGAAATAGCATCGTATGAACTGTGTTGTTTGAAAAAAAGGATTTGTTTTGTATTCACAGATTCGGATTCGATTTACAATAATTGAGTGCGGGAACCTTTATGATTCGGGTATTAAATTGCACTGTTTCACAATAGCGTTCCAGCTGTCAATCGAGGTGAACATATTGCACATATGAATCATAAGACAATATAACACGTTACATATGGATCAATAGGAATTCAATCTCTGATTTATTTGATTCTTATAATGAATGAAATGAAAGTGAAATGTCGGCAATCGTGTTCAGGTGACAATACATTCAATAAATTATATGGAATGGTTGCAATGAAAGGATTTTAGCGTAATTGAAAGGAAACCAAGATGCAATTGTTCTCATGCGAGAATGCATTCCTTCGACTTATTCACTATATTTAAATGGTTGCACAGATGCAAAATATAATATTAAAATTAATGAAAATTAATAAAGATAACGAATAACAAAATGAGTTTCTTGATATAATAAATATAATCATTTGAAAGGGCGCTAAGAATGCTATTGTGCCATTTGATAAGACATCGCCTGAATTAGCGGCCATTGTGGTAAAAAGGAATCCATTCATTAAATCATACATACATCATTATTGTAGTATTGTAATATAGATATGTTTACTATTGTTCACTATCAATTTCTTTGTAAATGCGCAGGATACAGATTATGCAGGTAGAAGTTATAAAGCCACGCTTCGGAGTGCAGGATAACACAACAAGCCGAAGAGCAACGACCAACAGTTTGAAAGAAAAACAAGGTATTTATTTTCATTCATTTGGCTAATAGCTATGATCATTGGGATTCGAACCGGGTAGATATAATCAACGGCAAAACCGAGATTAATATGCGTCGTTGCGTTAAATTCTTAATCTATGCAATTTTCCATGTTTTTGGTCTTGTTCTTGGTCATCGGAATTCGAGCCCAAGTCATACATTCTGCAATAAAACTGAGATAAACTATGCGACCTTATGTTATATACTTGATCTCTTTAACTCTCTGTTTTGTTGACTTCCAGTAACATGGTTAAGGATGGATTTTAGATTCAAGTCGTTCTTAGTCATCTAAGAATTTTTGTCCAGATATGTGCGAATTCATAGGTTTCTATCGTTTATTTTGTCGTGCTAATTCTTCTGGAATTAACTGCAGACATTGCGTTGTTGGATTTGTATGCTTCGTTTTACTGGATATAAGCGTATATATCTGGGCGGTGTGACGCATTGTGCTACGCTCGCCACCGCACCTCTGATTACCAAACGTGTGGTGCGTGAGGTGGTTCGCGTAACCGCTTGTCGGCTTCCTCCACCCCCAAGTCCACGCATATGAAACAAATAACTGGCTAACTAATTCCATACCTGACATGAAATGGTTACTGGGTGAGAGGCGTGGTTCGCCATATGAGTAAGCCGTCATAGCTACTTTCCTCTCCCCCGGGTCAAATATCTAAATGTTATCCTACGTGGAAGATTTTGCCTTTATTCTTAGCTTATGTCTGAACTAGACTCAGACAAGCAATCATTCGTTAGAGAGCTTTCTGTTCGCTATATTCTATCTACCTTGTTAATATAGTTGGCATGGGACACAAATCACAAATCTTACGACATAAACATTGATAGGTCTTATGATCAAACCTCAATTCCCACGCCAACATTTCAACAAAGAGATATCGACATGTCTCATTGGTGCTCATGTGCACCAGGAAGGCGCATATCCTGAACATAGTATGTGTACCAGGATAGGGGTATCAGGTTTTGCGTTATATTGGTGCACATACTAAGGGAGCGCCGTCATATTTTTCATTAATCAATGGATTACTGAATATTAAGTTTAATCACGTCATCATTAACTTTGATGACCGCCTGACCGTATCACTCCCACATGTCCACACCAAACTAATTTATTACTTGGCAATCTTTGACTGTTCTTTCATTTTGGTTGATAAAAAAAATGAAATCTCTCTCTCTCTCTCTCTCTCTCTCTCTCTCTCTCTCTCTCCATGTGTTAATTTGTTCACATTATCACGTTTCAGAATAAACAAAATCTTCAACGAAAATGCGTCTGAAAGTTGCAGCTATCCTCGTTGTTGCAATCTCTCTCCTATTGGCGGAGGAGTCTCATGGGGGTTGGGGGGGATTCAAAAAAATCTTTCGAGGAGCAAAAAGGGTAGTAAAGAAAGGCTACAAATATGCTAGAAGAACTAAGTAAGTTTTTACTAATTATATCTTCAAATAGTTAATAGTGGCGGATATTAAAACAAATTCCTAAGTGTTTGAAATTTTGCATTGGGTTTTCACAAAAGGCATATAGATTATAGATAATGCATTTGGAATTTCGACGTGATTCAAAAAAGGACTCATTTACTAAGTATTTATTCAAGTTATTTAATTCGAAAAAATTAAAGGCTTAACTAATGATAAGCCGTTTTTTTTACAAATCAAATAAAATATTTAATGTCTAAACTTAAAATGATCAAAAACCGGAATAGAAATTTTTCTTTTCGCTTAGTTTTCGTGAGATACGGCACCAAAAATAAAAGAAACCTGTAAACTTACTTCAGGACCACCATGTATATATTCATCATTAATTAGAATACTTACAGCTTTACATTTTTATAGATTGGGCCACATTGCAATTGAATTGGGCAAAAAGGCCCTTAAAAAGAAATTGGGCTTAGACGAAGAGATCACTAAGCTGAGAAAGCTCAGAGAGAAGGTAACTTGATGTTAGCTGTTGAAGTGTATTAAATCGCGTGTTACATATATCGGGTTCCAATCCCATGTCCACCATCTTGTCCAAGGTGTGTTAACTAAGTTAGGAAATGTTGAACCGGAAAGATCACGGTCTTTCCAAAAATATTAACTTCTAGTTATCTATCACTAGAGGTTACGCGAGACTAACTCCCTAACCCTTATCATTGTCTTTGCGCTAGTGCAGAGGTGTGCAACCTGCTTTTACGCGTCCCTTGATATTAAGCTTCAAAAATCAAAAACAACTTTCTTTTTGTTCAGGACGAAGAAGCCTATATAAACGCAATGTCCATGATTGCTGACGAAATTGCCGCAGAATCTGGAGATGGTGAAGCTCAGATCATGGTGGAAATGTTGGACGAACTGGCCAACATGCCTGACGGTAAGTTTATATAAAAAATTTATTTGTTATGAATAAGAAAGAATTTATTTGTAGAGTGTTGAAAAGCCGCTCCTACAAAGTAGGCGAACAAAATTAGTTACCTCCATATTGTACACATACTTCTGGAGCGCCGATTTTTGTCACGAACAGCCGATTTTCTACCCAACTAATTTTTGGCTCTCACCAAGAACATACAGTAATAACCTTTTTTCACTTCTATTTCAGAGGAATTCAACCAGTTCGTGGCTGAGCAAGAACTTGAACAAATTGCAGATTCCGACGAGCTGCTGTTATCAGATCATTAAAATGAAGTTTCCTAACGGACAGACCTACCAAAAGACAACCCGTTTTAATTTGATGTTTCATTTTTTTCATTGTTTCTAACAGATATTGCAGATTCAAAAAAACAAAAAAAAATTAAAAAAAAAATGGCGCCACTATAAATTGCAGTTGTATTTTATTTTTTCCTGTCACGTACAGTATTAGATAAGATATCTTTAAGATAAACGTTGTTCTGGGAACCGTATATAGAAGCATGTTCGATCAGTATTGGGTACTATAACTTCGAGTCGCGTATATCAAGTCGAATTACTCTTTACGTACTCCCTTTTCGAGTCGAATCGAGTCTGAGTGATAGAAGATTTTGAAATTGCAGTGTTGGGTGCTTGAACCTCAGGTCGAATCAAGTCACGTGTCATCCTAATTCAAAGTCATAATAATTATTTAGATCAGGGGTGTGCAACTTACGGCCCGCGGGCCAAATCCGGTCTGCAAGGAAAAATTGTTCGCCCCACGGGAATTGCCACGTTTCGAAGGTGTGCGACCCGCAAAACGAGTTTTTAATTTAGAATAATCAGTTCGTGCGAGTAATTTCAATATCTCACACTGCCCTAACAGCTAGCTTGTACGAAGCGAACAACGCATGTCATAAGATCAATAACCGAATAATTTTGTATCTGCAACTAATAGAAAGGATATGTTAAATAAAGGTAAAGCCGCGGTTTCATCCAGTTATTTGTATATGGCCCTCCTGTATTGAAGGTTGCTGATTTAGATAAGTAACACTCGCGGCTAATCTACTATGAGACCGAGTCGTTTCATTCAGATAACTCGACTAACTTCGATTCATTGATAAATAAATATGACTCGTGTCCAACTTGAGTCAATTCAATGACTGTAGCAATATATGCGAAGCCTCTTGGCTTCAAATAGGCGGTGTCAACTCATTAGAAATTATGGAAGACTCGACGATCAGGCGAATACATTTGAGTACTAATTACTGATCGTCGAACACTTAACAGAATGCTACAATAACACAGTTATATTAATGTCCTTATTGCGGTGTTTTAATACTTCCAAGATGGTTTAGGACAGTGTTTCCCAACCGCTGGTCCGCGGACCGGTGCCGGTCCGCGAAGCATTTTCGCCGGTCCGCGGGAAATTTCATTTTGTTGTTTTTCTCAATCGCTTTACCGGAGCCGAAAAGACGAAGTTGCGTTGGTTTATTACGCAATTTCTCTTCCGCCGTCATATTGCTGTTTGATACGTGCGGGATGGCCCGGCGACGTCTTGGCGCCGAGTAATCACACTTTTGGATTTTCCGGTTTCGATTCATCGCGACAGCGCTCCGTCAAATCTCGCAAGATTCAGAAAACCGGAAATCAGCATGCGTGCTTTTTCCGTTCTGCATGCTCCAAAAAAAAGTTTGAACACGATGCTAAATGTAAACGATGTTATGAGTTCTGTCCAAAGCATGCAAAGTCAATGTAATTGCTTATGTTTATGCAGGATTGCCAGAACACATGTTTGGTAATTGGTATACGATTGCATATAAGTGAGAATCAAAATTACTGGCTCATGACTAGGGTTACCATACTTTTGTGATCTCGAAGCGGGACGCGTCCAAAGACCATAGCTGTAATTTTTGCGCCTTTAAATGTTACATTGAGGGCCTACATTTAAAACCATCCCGACCGTCTTCATTGACCATATTGTAATCGAAAGTTCATGCGCTGTCTGTCTAAATATCGGTTTCAGTTCGATATTAGAAATAAATTTACGTTAACGTTATTTAAGTATCCTTTTGGCGTACGCGGCTTACACGTAACAAAATGTAGCAATTATCCGCTAACAAAACAACGAAATAATCGAGATAGCGATCGGAGACCGCCGACTTATCAATCTTCCGCAAAAAAAAAAAATTTTCTTCCTCATTGATTAATTTAATTAATAAAAAATAATAATTCATTAATTAATTAATAACTCGCTAATTATACGACATAATTCATCCGAAATCAATAGGCTCCTGGTCCGAGATATGATGAATGCACATGCAAAATTTGGAGCAGATTCAACCTCTCGTGTCTAACAGACAGACAAATAAACAAACAAACAGACAAATAATTATCAACATACTTACCGATCAAGAGCGATAAAGAACAAAACCACGCACCCACTTTCAGTAAGAAGGCTAACGGTACGCTACACAGCAACAACAGTTTTAGGAAAATTCTGATATTGGTCTGATATTATTTTAATTCTGGTATTGTTCATGTATCATGCTGACTGCTTGAAAGCCAAATCGGGACATTTGGCTAACCTGTCGGGACACGTTGAAGAGAGGGACTGTCCCGCCAAAAGCGGGACGTATGGTAAGCCCACTAATAACGGAAGTGATTCCTGTCCCAATTTTACACGATATTTGTGAATAAATGACACTTACAATCGTGGTTTCATCGGAGGTTTCCTATGATTTCCGAGGACGACTGGATTCGACAGATAGATAGATGTGAAACTTATCAAACTTAACCAAAGGTGCGATACGGATTGTATAATGAGCAATAGATCGATTCTGCGTTTTCATTTATTTTTTTAATTATCTAAGTATCCCATGCAACTGTTGAAAATGATAAAAGTTGTATTCGTGTCCGATTTGGAAGTCGGATTTGGAACGATTCAAGATATAAGTGTTCTAAAACGCTTAGGGTTCAGGTATATTAAACTGTACTCCCTCACAATGACGTATATTTGCAGCAATTTGAGAGTTCATAGCTATTATAATGTTTAACTGAAAGGACTCAAAGAAGGCAATTGTGCCATCAGAAAAGAAAGCCTCGTGTGAATCGGCACAATTGTTTTTCGGAATTGGTGGCACAATTGTTTCTGTATTCACATATCAGGATTCGATTTGTTATAATTGAGTGCGGAAACGTTCAGGATTCAGGTATTAAATTGCACTGCTTCACAATGACGTACTAGCCGTCAATCATGGTAAACATATTGCATATATAAATCATAAGACAATATAACACGTTACATATGGATTATTAGGAATTCAATCTCTGATTTATTTGATTCTTATAATGAATAAAATGAAAGTGAAATGTCGGCAATTGTGTTCAGGTGACAAAACATTCAATAAATCATATGAAAAATAATGGGTACATATGTTAAATACAAAAAAGCGAAGGAAAATGAACTAGAATAAACTAGTAATATCTTGTATAATTGAAATGATTTGAATATAATTGAAAGGAAACCGAAATGTCGACAAATGTTCTCATGTTATAATACATTCATTTACCTTTGTTCTATTGAAATAGATACAAAGTTCCAATTATAAAAATTTATATAAATTTAGCTGAAAAAAAAAAAAATTTATACGACGATCTGTTATACTTTTCACTCCAAAAAAGGTCTATAAAAGCGGCCACTGCTAGGCAATCAACTAACATCGTTTGAAAGATCTTGAATATGTCCGGTTCAGCATTTCCTAACAAATTTATTACACACTGGGTGATGTGGCGGCAACGGCTTTGAAATCGATGCCAACATTGTTAGATCTGACGCTTCAACTACTGGAGTCCAAGATTTCCCAAACTTTTTTGGCCTCGGACCCATGTTTGTCAATCTTATTTTGGACGGACCCTCTCGGCCTGTATTTTGTCATCATATTGGTAAGAGATGGAAATGGTGCCTCACACACGTATGTCGTTGCATAAGGGAATAAAATTTTAATTAAAGTTTTTGACAGCAATGGATAGCTCTATTCGTCCGCAACGCCCAGCCAAAAAGGCTTTTTGATTGAAATCAATCATTAAATATCGATCAGCTCATTTTTATGCCGATGCAGACCACTGGTGCAGTCACCACCGATCCGACTTTCACAGGGCGATTCACGATAAAATAAAATAAATTACGTGTGATTGAATAGAGTCTATTCAATAGACTGTAAGCAAGTCAATGGGCCATTTGAGAATGCATCGTTTGTGAAAGTTTGAGCTTTTATTTGTCACAGATTACGATTCTATTTGAAATAATTAACGTTCAGGATTCAGGTATTAAATTGCACTGTTTCACCAGAGCGTACTAGCTGTCAATCATGGCAAACATATTGCACATATAATTCATAGGACGATGTATAACACGTTACATATGGATTATTGCGAGTAGTTCAATCTCTGATTAATTTAAATCAAATAATGATTGAAATGTAAGTGAAATGTCGACAATTGTGTTCAGGTGACAATACATTCAATAAATCATATGGAATAAAATGGTTGCAGATGTTAAGTACAAAAAAGCAAAAAATGAACTAAAATAAAATAGTACATTCTAGCATCATTGAATGAATTTTAAAATAATTGAAAGGAAGCCAAGGTGTCGGCAATTGTTCTCATGAAAGAATGCATTCATTTACATTTATTCTATATAAATTTGAAATATATAAAATTAATATAGATTTCTTATAGAAAACAATTCGCATAAAGAGATATAATGTAAGAATAGAATCTGAATTGAATATAATTTAATTGAAAGGATTCTAAGTAGACAATTGTGCCATTGATTAGACACCGCCTGAATAGAAACCATTGTGCCTAATTAAAATAATGCATTTAATAAATCTTGCATCAATATTGTAGTATTGTAATATAGATATATTTACTATTGTGTGCTATTAAAGAGCACAGGATACTGATTATGCAGATAATAAATATAAAGCCACGCTTTGAACGTCAAGACTACACTTACGTCGAAAATCAACGACCAACTCTTCAAAAAAACAAGGTATTTATTTTCATTCTTTTGACCAGAAATTCAAGGTCATCGGGATTCGAACCCAAGCCGTATAGTTGTGGAGGAACAGCGATTATACTATGTGAATTGCGTTAAATTCCTGAACCATTCAAATCTCTATGTTTCAATGACATTTAGCAACATGGTAACGAAAATATTTAATATTGAAATCACTTAGATATACTGTGCATGACGACTTGCAACAAGCAGTCCCGCTTCCTGTTTGATATAGTCTACTCTGATAATTCGCTTAGTCTCGCACCAGCATTTCAGCAAAGAGAGATCGGTACCGCTTTGGTATGCGATCTCCCTAGCTTAAAGTTGATCCAACTTGCTAACGTTTAAGCTCATATCTCATAAATATATTCATCTTCGATCAATACGTGACTTAGTCATTTACTTTAATTTTTAACAAACAATTTGCAAACAAACAGATAGAATTCGGTGCCTCTCCGGTATGCGGTCTCAGTCATAAAAACTTCTTCGGAACGTCGCCTCACTTGCTTAACGTGATATCAATCGCATACGAAAATGGCACGTTTAATCTCATAAAGACATTCTCATAAAAATCAGTTTCTAAGCCGAACCCTAACTAAAATCAATGAGATCGCGTACCAAAGTAGCCCCGAGAGTTCGTTATATCACACGAAGAATTTGATGGGTTTCTGATTATTAGGCTTATCCACGTCATCAACCCATCTATGTGTTAATTTGTTTACATTGTACGTTTCAAGATAAACAAAATCTACAAAGAAAATGCGTCTGAAAGTTGCAGCTTTTCTCTTTGTCGCACTCTCTCACTTGGTGGATGATTCTTGGGGGTTGCAGAGTCATATAGGCCGGGGTGGTGATGGTGGCGGTAAAAAAACGACGTAAATTATTTCTAAATACATTTTCAAATAGTCAATTTATCCAATTTAGCAGTTTATTACCCTGGCGGATATTAAAATGAATTCTTGAGTGTTTTAATTTGACATTACGTTTTTAGAAAAGACATATAAATAATGCATTTGGAATTTGGCCGTGATACAAAAAATGACTCGATAACTAAGTATTCATTCAAGTTATTTAGTTCGACAAAATTGAAGACTTAACTAATATTATTCCAATATTTTCAGAAAGTCTGAACTCAAAACAATCAAAAATCGGATTAGAAATTTTCCTCGCTGCTTAGTTTTTGTGACTTACAGTGCCAAAAATGAGTTTAATCTGTAAACCTACTTCAGGGCCATCATGTGTATATTCATCATTAATTTGAATAATTACGACACTTTATTTTTATAGATTGGGCAGCCATGCAAAGTATGCGTATACAACGGGCAGTTATTACCGTAGAAATAATTTTGGCGATGGAGAAGAAATCAGTAAGCTGAGGGTGCTCAAATGGAAGGTAATCTGCCTAGAGGTTATTAAAGTGTCAGCCTTAACAGTTTTGGCATCGCATCCCATTTCAGGTTCAAATCTCATGTCCACCACCTCACACGGGGTGTAATAAATAAGTTAGGAAATGTTGAACCGGGAAGATTACGGTGCTTCTGAAAATAGTGACTTACTCTTTAAATATCTATCGGTGCAGGTTACGCGAGACTAACTGCCTATCCTTCCTCAATGCATTTGCGTTAGTGGATCCGTATGCGTATCTCAAAAATCCTTGAACTCCTCTCAAAAGTACTTAAACTTTTCACAAAAGTTTATAAACTTTTCTCAAAGTTCTTAAACTTCTTTCAAAGTTGTTAAACTTCTTTCAAAGTTGTTAAACTTCTTTCTAAAGTTGTTAAACTTCGAGTCGCGTATATCAAGTTAAAACTTGTCTCAAATCCGAGCACCAATAAATTTCACCGAACTTCTAAGTCGAGCCCGATTAATAATGTATTTCGTAAATGCAGTGTTTTTGTGGAAGTCGCGTATAATCTGACTAAAGTCAGACTTCATCAGTCAAGTCATTGCTGTAATATGCTAGAAGTACGATATTCCTCTCGCAAATAATTATGCACGAAGAATTTGAATTTGCGGTGCGACTGCAAGCGTGTTCCTATAGCTCACCTCAATCATTGAGACGCACGAATAGTGCCAATGACATTACCTGTGTCTGTAGTTTCAACATTTCAGCACAACTTTCTCTTTGTTCAGGACGAAGAATCCTATAAGAACATAATGTCCATGATCGCTGATGGAATTGCAGCAGAATCTGGAGATGGTGAAACTCAGATTATGATGGAAATGTTGGACGAACTTGCCAGCATGCCTGACGGTAATTTGTTTATATGAAATGTTTGTTCCAAATAAGAAGGAACTTGATATGTAGGGTGTTAAAACGGCGCTCCAGAAGTATGTGTACCAATGTGAAGGGAACTAATTTTGTTTGCCTATTTTACATCAAGTTGTGTAAAAGGACTGAAACCTATAGGCAGAGGGATATTCACTTGGATAACACAGACAGTCCCCGAACTCGTAGTAGAACTAAAATAAGAAAAATCAGGATAAAATTTTGGCTCAACACTAACCTGGTACACATAATACGGGAGTATCGTTAAAATGTTTAGAAATATTCCAGAACTTTACGATTCGGTATTTAGTCAAATAACTAAACTTGATTCACTGTAAGTTCATGAATTTGGTTACCTGAGTCCGATTTATTATCTATGCCTATGACGTTACAATGCCAGAACAGCTAGCTTGTGCCTGTGTGACGCATGTCATATGATTAATAAGCAAATTTTTGTGCCTGCAACTACTAGAAAACCTATGTTAAATAAAGGTTTCACCCAATATGTTTTTCTGGCCCTCTTGTATTAAAAGTTGCACACACCTGCTCTAAGTTGACAGCGCGTAGCAAGATTTTAGTCACAAACATCCGATTTTCTATCCAAATGTAACTTTTAGCTTTCGCCAAGAACATAAAGTTTAAACTTCTATTTTATTCTATTTCAGAGGAATTCAAGCAATTCATGGCTGAGCATGAACTTGAAGGAATTGCAGACTCTGATGAGCTGCTGTTATCAAATCATTGAAAAATGGAGTTTTCTGACGGACAGACCTACCAATAGACAACCCGTTTTCATTTGATGTTCCATTTTTTTTATTGTTTCAAACAGATATTGCAGATTCAAAAAAAAAAAAAAATGGCGCCACTATAAACTGCAGTTGTATTTTATATTTTCCTGCCACGTACAGTTTTAGATAATATATCTTTAACATAAACGTCATTCTAGTGACCGTGTATAGAAGCATGTTCGATCAGTGTTGGGTACTATAACTTCGAGTCGCGTATATCAAGTCAAATTACTCTCTTTACTTACTCCCTTTTCGAGTCGAATCGAGTCCGAGTGATAGTAGAGTTCGGAAATGCGGTGTTGGGCGCAAGTCCTTGAACTTCAAGTTACGTGTCATCCAAATATCGAGTCAAATTAATTATTTAGATCAGGGGTGTGCAACCTGCGGCCCGCGGGCCAAATGCGTTCTACAAGAAAAAATTGGGCGACCCACGGAAAATTGCCAATTTTTAAAGGTGTGCGGCCCGCAAAACGAGTTTTAATTTTGATTAATCTGGTACGTGCGAGAAATTCCAATATCTCACAATACCCTATAACAGCTAGCTTGTGCGAAGCGAACAACGCATGTCATAAGATCAATCCACAAATAGTTTTGTATCTGTAACCACCAGAAAGAATCTGTTAAATAAAGGTACGGCCCGCGGTTTCACTCAGTTATTTGTATTTAGCCCTCCTGTTTTACCGGTTGCACAACTCTGATTTAGATAAGTTTCACTAGCGGCTAATTTTATTTAGATGACTTGACTCACTTCAAGTCTTTGATAAATAAATATAACCCGTGTCCAACTTGAGTTCGGCAATGACTCGAGCTCCATAACACTCTTTGCAGGCAACAGATCGACACAGGAATAAATTTCAAAATTGGCATTACATACTACAAAGTGACAGAAAGTTACAGAAATACATTTGAATATGGAAAAAGAATAGTCATATTTATTTCTGTTATAGCATCCCTGCAATATACGCTCAGGGTAGGGCTACTCACCTATTTTGAAAGAGGTTCCGTATACAAAGTCTAAAAACTACTTGGGTTCGTCATCTCAGAAAAAAAATTACTTTATGCAAACAAAACTTCAGATGCATCGCTTAACAAAATACAAGAGCAATAACTAATGTCGCACATCCTTACCGTTATGGCTAGGTTTTCACTATCTTGATGAGCGCTAACTTTGCTGAGTATCGTGTTAAAACATAACTAAGCGTGACGGAATTTATTCTATAATTTAAAAAAGGAAGGCTTCAAGCATTGTTGAAATTTTATCACAACTAATCTATAACTACTGGTAAACAAAATATCCATAGAGTTGTTTGATTCATATTCAAATTTTGAAAGTATCACCCCAAACTATCAAAAAGCATGCAACAGCACGAAAACAGACAAATGTTTACCACCATGCCTGATAGTCTAGGTAAAAAATGTGCTTGAGTGGCCGCAAAACTTCTGATTATTACGCCACCGTTGACATCTTGATGATTTAACCAATATTAGCAAAGTAACAAGTAAGTCGATGCTCGGCAAAATATATATCACAATTTTTTGCTCGTATGGTTCAGAGAACATGCTTTACTTTACAACTATGAAATACAAAACGACGCTTTTAAAATCAATAAGCAGATATGTTCCGGACGAAACACCCGAGAGGTCAACCAGTTGAGTAGCCTTGGCATAGAGAACCATTTGCGCAAATACATAGAGGTCGGTCACGGTCGATTGCGTCCGTTCAACGTACAGGGTTTAAATGAGATAATATTACGTGAAAAGCTTTTCTGGGAATGCAGTATTTACTCCTCACCCTCCACGGTAATTTTCATGTATATACCCTTGAATAAAATGTGGCTCCTTAATAAAATACTAACCTCTTACAGAGGGTTCCCTCTGGTTAATATTTATGAAAGCTGGAATACGCTGTGAAAACAACTAAGAAATGGCATAAAACGTCACGATTTGCATGTGCTGATATTTTTATACTCAATAAGCTCATCAGCTTTAAATTTTATGGGATGGGTGTTTCCAAATTTAAGGGGTGGTAAATCATTTTTATTATCGATGTTTGGAATTTAAGGGGTTGTTCGCTCTATAGGGAAGGGGATGTGTAGGAAAATCACTGCGCGTTATACGATTATGAAACCTTGCGATTATGCCCTTGTCAAATGATAGATGTGAATCATTACATTTGAATCATTATAAATTCAAATTATATAGATCAGCGTACGCAATTTGCAACAAACATACTACATCAATCGTAAGTTTATAGTTTGTTAAAATGCAAAATGTGAATTTATTTTCTTTTACAAATTAGGTCCCATGCAATCCGCATTAGTTAGTGTTGACTACGCTTTATGGAAGTGTTTGTTTGCCGTTCATTAAAACAAATATGCATTGTGAGCACGCAAAGACTGTGTCAATATATCTTGAAGGGGTAACAAATTTATATTTGATACAGTGTATAATACGTCTACGTGGTCTACGTATTGACCAAATGCTGGCGTTGCACTGCGATATCGCGCCTAAGAAGGGCTGTATAAAAACAACGACATAAGTAGCAGTAAGTAACAAGGCTATGGATGCATTGCCGATCGTAAGGTATAGACCTAATAATAAAACAAAGTGTTAGTTTCGACGGTATAGATATTTTATAGGGCCTCATTTAAATTTTGTAGAAGGTTGCGACGCTTGTTTCTGGTACAGGTAAAATGTAGAAAATGTATGTACACGCATTCGCGAGAAATTACAATTGATTGCACTGAAAGCATTGAGAAAGGCAAAGATATACCCGCTCTTCTAGGCTATTCTTAATTTTGTAAAGACTGCGATGCTTATTTCGGTATGAGTGAATGTAGAAATATTTTATACGCAGGACTTGAGTTTTCAGTTCGACGAGAATCTGAACTTTTGGTTGAAACATTAAATGAGAGTAGATGTTTTTCGGGAAGTCATTGTACGTGTATATAATTTACAGTTCCACACTTTCTCTTTGATCATGGCTATATTAAATGAACGACTAAAACCTTGGGAACTGCTAAGTATTTTTACTAACCCAAATCTTTTGTGTTTCCATACCCAACATTATCTGGTACATCACCAGTGAAGTAGTGTTAATCGGGTTTCAATCTTAAACCTTAACTCGCGACGTACAGGGCCAACGTATATGAAAGACCAAATGACTGTGGAATTTATGTATTTTAGCAAAAGTGAACTACGTTGACATCTCAGATTGAAAATTTAGTTTTGATCCCCATTCCCACCGTCTCACCCAGGGTGTGCCAGTAACCCAGTAGGTAGGCAAGGCCAGAACGAAAAGATTTCGGCTTTTCTTGTATAATATGCTTTTAACATAATCCTCTTTTTAGACTTAAATTTCAGAATGGTTTTGGAAATAATTTTAGCAAGCATTTCAATCTTATGCTTGTATTTATTAGTTACCCGACGTCCTAAGAACTTTCCACCTGGGCCGCGAGGATTTCCATTAATTGGATATATTCCCTTTCTTGGAGAAAATGCTGCAGAAACATTTCGACAAATGAAAGATAAATATGGACCTGTTATGTCGGTACAAGTTGGTCGTGATTACTGGGTTGTGTTGAATGATTTTGAAAGCATTACTGAGGTTGGTATTTATTGTCAACAAAGCATAAAAGCAAAGTGTCTGATGGAGCAAAGTGAAAGCAAAGTGTCTGGTGGCAATCATGCGCTTTTTTAAAGGTTCCATTACATTTGAACCCACGTACATTTGAACCCATGGCAATTGCACCTGCATACTATTGCACCTATGAATTTTTTTTTGTTTTACGAATATTTGAACCCATACTAACCCTAACCCATGGGTTTTAGCACCCGCATATAGATTGAACCCGCGGATATACACATTGGTTGAAATGTACATGGGTTCAAATGTACGGTCACCTTTTTTAAAGCATAAAAGCGTTTTTAAAATCTAGGTAAATTATTCTCCAGAGAGCTGATAGCCATATAGCCATACACTCTTGGATGTTTCTCCGACAACTTTTGCAGCCGTTCAAACACTTTGTTTGCTCAGACAGATATCGAACATGGTTGTAAATATTGCCCGATTTCGCGATTTCGCGTGTTATTTGTCAGTTTTGTCAGCGTTTTCAAAAATGAGTTGTAAAAATAAAGTAATTTAATTGTCATGACGTCTTCCGATTAGCTTCAGTTTAGTTGCGGTAATCGAAAATTTAGTCTCAGGAAAGCTGCGATAGACTAGGCGAAAAATTGACTATCAGTACCTGTAAGCGATACGTGGTTCTATATTTTAAAAATCATGTTTTAACACTTAAATCAGTTTGTAAGTGCCAACTCTCCAAAGACACTCGCAAAATAAGCATCCAAAATTTTGTAATAGTGAAGTATAGGGAATATTTTTCTGGGGTCAAATGTCGGAAAAACATCCGTACCACAGCCAAGCCTATATATATGAAAACAAAGCCATATAAACGAAAGTTATGATCACGAAGAATTATTGTTGAATTATTCGACCTAGTAATATTCAAGCACAATTGTGAAATTTGGAAAACTCGATGTGAGTATGTTATCAATCTCAGTTGATTTAGCCCCCCACGCACTGTCCAACTGCAACGACCATGACGAGAACGCAATTCAATACACAATGTCCAACTGTCCTCTAAATATTACCACATTTATATTGGTATAGCTTTGATAATGCCGCCTCATAAACTCATACCTCGTTGCCCGGAAAATTGACAAATCCTAGAAAATACGTTATAAATTCTAATTGATTGAAGAGTCTTGCAGCACACTAGCACAAATATAAGACTGTTGAATTTTGGGTGAGCCTTTTGATTATCTTATACTCAATTAAGATACAAAGTACCAATACCATTGTTTTTTCGACCAATTGCACATTATTTCCCACGTATTTTCTGCCGACGAATTTGCTTTATATTTCGTTTCCTTTTCAGGCACTGGTGAATCAAAGTGAGAAGTTTTCTGGAAGAGTGAGCAACTTTATTAACGACCTGATCACGAAAGGGTACGGAATTGCAGGAGGCGATTACGGGCCAGAATGGAAGAAATTGAAAAAGTTCGGATATCATGCATTGAGAGGGTAAGTATTGTAGAACTCTCACAATAAATATGGTAACAATTGTTGTCACCTTTTTCAATCGCAAACACCGTGTGTGGCTGTAAAAAAAAAACAATTATTACTTCTGTCTGTCTGTCTGTCTGTCTGTTAGATGCACGCGATATCTCACGAAAGCGAGATTGAATCTCCTTGAAATTTTGCATGTGCATTCATCATATGTCGTACCGGAAGCCTATTGATTTTGGATGAATTATATCGTATAATTAGCGAGTTATTGATTAATAAGTGATGGGACACAAGGTGTCACTATGGAGTAAGAGCGCTGTTTTGGGGGATCCCCTAACTTTCGATTGATAAGTCTTCGGTCTCTGACCGATATTCTCGTTTTACGTATCGTCGCATTTTTTATTCGACTGATTGAAAAATGGAAGCCAGTACACCGTCAATATCAACCCTAAATGTTTCTAGCAAAAATAATTTGAAACCTAATAATTTCGCAAACGTCACCAGATAAGATAAGATAAATAATTTTGTGAAACCATAATTGAATTCAAATATTTGCAATTTGGCATTTTATCATAAATTTTGCCAATTTCTTTTGACCCAGTCTTGAACATTTTGACATTTTAAATTTGTGTATAATTTGAAAAAAATATAAATAGTTTTGTGTAGCACAATTTGACATTAAATACTTTGCATGCAGTATATTAGCACAAGGTTAGGGCAAATATTCTTAAACAAAGTTCAAATCATTTCCATATTTTAACATTCTATACCCCACAATTTCAACTTTATCTATATTTTTACAACCGCAGATTCGGCTTTGGAAAGAAGAGTATGGAACAAAATATAAACGAAGAGGCGGCGTGGTTAATTGAAAGTTTGACAAGTACGGACAAGAAAGAATTTCAAGTATGAACATACGAGTTCACATGACTAGTTGATTGTCAAGTATTAAAACAATTTTTCGCAATGGTTTTTCGATTTGATTTCGGATTTGACTTACAAGAGCAATGAAGCAAGCAGAATGCAGTGTAAACGTACAGACTGCGAGGGAACACAAAATATATCGCACATTTGGCTATGCTTGGAGATTTATGACGTTATAGACTAGCGGTTCCCTAATCGGGGGCTCGTGATGATCCATTAAGGGGGCTACATAACAGTAGGAAAGGGGCAAAATGCCATGCGCAAAACTGATTGTACTTTTTTCTTTACAAGAAACTTCCCTGTTATTCTTAGTTTTATTGTTTGATTAGGTTATTTCACACGGTGTTTTCGCCTTGTTGAGTATGAATTATTTGACCATAATTGGATAAAATAAAAATAACACTATAAATACTACTATAAGGGCAAATAGAGGACCACGATTGCTAAACGATGCCATGATGGGGGCACGAGCAATAAAAGGTTCGTAGCCACTTTTATAGACGAACAGCCAGACGCGTAATAACTTTTTAATACAATAACGTAACACAACCCGACAAGCAATACAGGCTATAATACAACTCGTAATAATTAAGTGAAGTCATCACGATGCGCCATTTTTACATATATACACCGAAACCAATTTTATTATTGGTTTGTTTCAATTTTAACAGACCAAAATCACTCAAGCAGTTTGTAACATCGTCAACCGACTCACGTTCGGGACAAGGCTAGACTACGAAGACAAAAGATTCATTCACATGACTGAAGTCACTCAAAAAATGTGAGTAGTAAATCTCAGAACATATAATTTCAACCTCCGACCAGACCTAGTGAAAGGGGATCCGTAACGAATAAACACTGCGTGCTGCTTCATACCACTAAATTACCTAATTTAGCATTTCAAGCAGTCGTTTTATTTGGCAAGTTCAAGCATGAAAACTCAACCTACGAAATCAAAAGAACAAAACCCATACTTTATTCAATTACTTCTGTGAAAACAAAGATAATTTATTTACCACTTGAACTACTTTTTGTTCATGATTGTACCCAATGTTTCAGTAATTTAGGATGCTTTGCGCAAAAGTTTTTCCTAAAATATGTTCCAAATGACCCTGGTTCTGTTACCGCTGGTAGGTCAAGCCCCGCATCAAGGTCATTACACTCTGGTAGCCTCTGATATCGACCCACGACTGAGCCGTACAAAGGGCCGTCCAATGAGGAATTAACCGCCTTGTAGTCCTTTCTTTTTTGTCTGTAATAATTAAAAACTCTATATCCGATCTTACGTTATATCTCAGTTTTTCGGACAGCAGAGAAGCTAAGGTTGTTGCGTTGTTGGTTATGGCTCCGTCATTGAGGTTTCTACCAAATTTTAAACAAGCTGTGAAGGATTTTGTTGGAGATTTCGAAACATTTCTGGGTGAGAAATTAATTCAAGTGTTGACATTTGCCAAGTAGTATTAAGATTTGTAATTGCAGTGATAAATTATTCCGCACCCTCTTGGGATAATCCTCGGATTCAAATCCCATTCTCACCACTCCATACAAGGTGTGATTTATTGTGTAGGACCGATATGTATTTGCTGTAGAAGTACTGATATTTTTCAGTTCTTCATCATTACTATAATACTCAATCACAACTATCAGTAGAAGTTGCACGAGACTAACTCCCAAACCTTCTTCAATGCCTTTGCTCTAGTTGATCCGCATGCGTGATAAAAATCAGATGAAACGTCACAGAAATACATTTGTGGTAGTGTGCAGCAAGACTATTGAATTCCATAGTATACTTATTTATGCGCCCATTATAAAATACCTAAACTGTGAAAAAGCCAGTTGCGCATAAAACTAGATAAGGATTGCTTAAAAAAGTTCCTTACTTCTCAATGATGGCCTGCAGAATTATACGTAACCTGAAAATATGTTTCGCCCAAGTTAACTACACAGCGATAAATAACATGGTAATAATTCATTCTGAGTTTCATCCACTCATTACAAGCATGGAACGGTACAAGCCGTCATTGATACGCACTGCGATGGCAGATTTTTTAATGGATTGACTTTTTTTGTTCGAATTCGCCCAACAAAATGGAAAAGAATTGGGTATGGAATCGAGTTATTTAGAATCTGCGAGGATGACACAGTTGTAATACGTCTCGTGTGATGAACAAATTTTGTTTCCCATGAAAACTTGATTAATTAAGTCAGTGCTATCCTTGGTGATTTTTCATTTTTTATCCAGAGGTCACCAACGCTGTGCACATGGGCACCAATATCCTCGCCAGGGAGAACCACATGAGTTGCTCGCAGGTCTATTCTAAAATTAGCTCAAACAATCTTTAACAATATAAGTGTCTCATGGCTAAATACCATTAACAGTTATTATTAATGCTTGATCGAGCGAATTAAATTTTCAGAAGTGTGTGTGTGAACTGGTTGCCCTTTGCTTAAGCTGTACCCAGTAAGTAGCCCTTGGCTTCATAAAGGTTGGTTAGCTTCCAGGTTTGACCACGAGAGTGTTAGTCCCATGGGAAACGTGAGACGAACAAATATTTTCCTTGGACAAGTCTGAATTTAATTCAACCTATTCTAGGGTACTTTGAAGATATTATAGCTGATCATGAGGCGGATTTCGACGAACATGACATCCGAGACTATATTGATGTATTTTTGAAAGAAATGAAGGACAGAGGACAGAATGATCCTAGTTTCAATGTGAGATGAATTCTTTATAGTAGTAATATGTTTCATCGTATACATAAATCTAATACATAACTTTCGTCGCCAAATATAACGCTAGGCATCAGCTGCTTTGTCTAAAACTGACGTGGGCAAACTGCGGCCCGCGAGCCAAATCCGGCCCGTTGGGTGATTCAATCTGGCACACCTGATGCTGCAATGAATTTCTGCTTATAATCATGAACTGCACATCATTCTGCATGCACTTACATAATTAATGAAATCTCAAATCTGTTTTGACAATTGCAACAACCAAACTAAAACCAAATTTTGATGTTTTAATTAAAAAACAGCTCAAGGAGTTGGTTGAGATTGCTATTAAATTTACTTTTGGCACGAGACTTCTTGTTTCCTGTTTCGCTTTTGTAAAACTGTTCATGAAATGGAACTTTTTACATCACACTTATTTGGTCGCTAATCGGGATGGCAAAATTGTTGACATCTGGTACAAAAATTTACTGTTACGTGGCATTTTTTAATTCCAGAAACAACAACTTGCACATTTCGTTCGAGATCTGATCGATGGAGGAACCGGAACAACAGCTAGTACTTTGTGTTGGATCATTCTATGCTTCGCAAATTATCCTGATCATCAAGAGAAAATTTATAAAGAGATTTTGGAAACTATAGGTCAGTGAAGTAATAAATTCAAAATTTTGATATTCATTCCATTTTGAAAAACGACATGGAAACTTGCCCATATGGTAAAATAATGGTTTCGAAAACTTGAAGTAGCTTGAGTCTTCTATATTAGGTGAGTGCCTCTCGCGGCCCGCGGGCCCAATGCGGCCAATAAAGAAAAATTTTGCATCCCGCGGCCCAATTTTGAATGGTATGCGCCACGCGGAACGCGTTTTCAATTTAGTTAAATATGGTAAGTGTCAATATTTCCAATCTCTTTGCGTTGTAAAATCTATAGAAGAGCCCAATTTATTACAACACCCGAACAGCAAGCTAGCTTGTGCGAAGCGAACAAGGCATGTCATAAGATCAATAACCAAAACTTTTGTACTCGCAATTACCATAAAATCTTGTTAAGTAAGTATGGGACCCGCAGTTATTTCTATGTTGCCTTCCTGTATTAAAGGTTACGCACTCTTGATTTAAATGAAATGACTAGGACTCGTACTAACCAGTGAGACTTGCTAAATAATATTTTTGGAACGTTGTATTTCAAGGGGAAAGTGGAATACCTTCAATGAAGCATCAAGACGAAATGCCGTACACTTGTGCTTTTATACAAGAAATACTGCGACATAGACCCGTGGTACCATTTGGAATTTTGCATAAAACGACAGAGGAAGCAACTTTAAATGGATACACGATTCCAAAGAATACAATAGTGAAATATTTTCTTACTCAAGTTGCTAGCTTTACGTTAGGTTAGATTTAACAGTCACCGAAACGATTTTGCCTTTTTTCATTGAGTTAGGTTAATTTGGTCATCTGCGCACCGATTTGGCCCTCGCGGCCTTGGCTTAGGTTAGGTTACTTCGGTCGGCTTCAGCTCAATTCTCGATTATCCTGATCCGAACTATCACATATTCATGCATATCTAATTTATTGCTTCTCAAGTTATTTGGCGGACATTTTCAAATCACATGCTCCCCAGAGTGCAACAAATTTGATTGGCAATTCCGAACCGAAAAGTTACGATCATAACAAAAATACCATCTCTTCGTATGTCGTTACTCGTTAGATATCAGTAACTGCTAGAAAACAGTTTTGTTCGGAGCAACGTGCATGCCGGCAATAAAAGTGTTTTGATTAAATATGAAAAAACTTCGGCATAACAGCGTAGTTGCTCGAAGAATAATAGTGAACTATACACTTTTAGCGGATGCCGCGACAACACCAATGAGTCGTACAATGGCTTCGTGCTATCCGGATTAATATTTTTCCGTTCTCCACTTTTTTCAGAATGTGCCTTGAATCGATTCGAATTTATGTCGATGCGAAACTCTTGGATTCAAGAGTCATGCATATATACATCCCTACAAACCTATATTCTTATATAATCGGAATACGATCAAAATGCGCGCAACTCTACAATAAAATATTTCAGTTACGGTATCTATCACTGTTTATCTTTTTAGATTGCACCAAATATGTGGGCAGTTCATTACGATTCCAGACATTTCAAAAACCCAAAAGTATTTCAACCAGAAAGATTTCTCGATTCCAACGGAAAATTTGTCAAGCCGAGTCACGTGATTTCTTTCTCTATGGGGCCTCGTTACTGCCCGGGAGAGAATCTGGCCAGATTAGAGCTTTTCATATTCTTGACGGCCATCGTTCAGAAGCTGAAAGTCGTCCCTGATAGCACTAACCCTCTGCCCGCATTTGAAAGTGGTCGTTTCAACATGATGACGTACGAGTCTCCAAAATTCTATGTCAAATTTGAACAACGTTAATTCAGATAAAGAATTGTAATTTAAATTCAATTAAAATGAATAATTTTATGATAACTTGTGATGGGATAAAAATAAACTGGCAGAATCGCAACAATTTTGTTTGAATGTAAATTATTCTGTCAGTTTGGATTTCCATGTCATATTTAAACAACGATAATTCAGAAACAAAATTATAAATTAAATTCAATCAAAATGAAATAGGTTTGTGCTAACTTCCTGCAATGAAAATAAACTGGCAGAATATCAGCTGTTTAATTTAAATGGAATTTATTCTGTCTGTTTGTTTTTCATTTCATTTTCTCACTACTGATTTTTGATTTCTTCAATGACGAAAGTAAAAAAACTATGATGATTTATTATTGTAAAGTATAAAAATAAATTGGGTAGTGGTGTCATGTAAGATTTATAAGAGCGTGTTCAAACCCCAGTGGGGCTGTCAATATGAAACAACAGAGAAATAATAACACGAAGGCAACCATACTGACAATTTCGCCATCAAATTCTAACGGAAAAGAACACCCGTGGCGTAATAAATTGGGAAGCCAATGTCAAAGCGTGAGCAATCCCTCTTGAACGGGATGATCATTGCTGGCCAGTCGTGGATCTTTTCACAAATTGGCGCCATTGGTCTCGGTTCTGCGACATTTTCAACAACTGAGACATGTTGAGGTCCGCTATGTCTTTAACATTGTATGACATTGTTGTTTTCTTCAGAACCCAATAGTTTGTTTGCTTATCTACCCAGCTCACACGAAGAAGTCTGCGGTAGCACCACAACTCAAAAACCGCATTTTTTCACGTCGGCTCCCTTCAATACCCAGCATTCTGATCCATTTGTTGCTATTGTTCAGAGAAATCATTGCAGTCTTCGCCATAGCTATATGCGTCGTCTTACTTCCTCCTTGTCATTTACTTTGTTTGTTGGAACTACACCTAGATAATTGAATTCTGTTACATTTTCAACACTCTGGTTTTCCAAGATTGAGTTTTCATCATTTATAATCTTTGTCAGTTTCATAAGTTTAGTTTTCTTGATAAGCTTCGCTTGTGATAGAGGTTGTTATAGAGCAGGGGTGGGGAAGGTTTTTGGACCAGGGGTTATTTATGTGTGATGTGGAAAATTACAATGTATGAACAATATTTTCAGTGGTACAAAAGCAACCGTGGACAACAATAGACCTCGTGCCAAAACTGAATTTAATCGCAATCTCAACAAATTTCATGAGCTATTTTTTAGCTAAAACTTCAATATTTGGTTTCAGCTTGGCTTTGTGGCAGCATAAGGCGGGCCAGATTGTATCACCCAACGGGCCGGATTTGGCCCGCTGGTCGTATTTTGCTCATGTCTGATATAGAGGTTAACACACAAAAAAGTAATAAAAGAATAATAGCGATAATACCGACTCACTAACGAAACGATCCATCTGTACTCTTCGTACCAAATAAATACACAACATAAACACCTTTCGGTCCGTTACAATAAGAAGGATCGGGAAGTACTTCGAGCTTCCGCCGTCAAGAATGTCGTCTTCGACCGCCAACGAATTACCCAATACCGGTTTTGCCCCTCAAGGAGAAATAAAAACATGGTCAGAGAATATGATGTTTATTTTCACGCAATTCGGAATTTTGATGGATTAAAACATAAACATATGAATTGACTTAAGAACGAGCAATGGTACTCCCATAGTGTGTGTACAAGGTTAGGGTTAGGCCATAATTTTATTCCGATTTTTCATATTTCAGTTCTATTTTGAGTTAGGAGTTTTGCAATCGTGTCAACGCTCTAAAAATATTGCTTGGAACTCTGGAGCTTCGTAAATCAAATTGATATGGCCACCAAAAAACGAAGGCGGTGCTTGTTTTGGATCTGGCAAAATTTTCAATTTCTGCACAATTGCCGTGAGGAATATGAACAGCTCCATCTTGGCTAAATGTTCTCCCAAGCAATGTCTTGGACCCAGTGAAAACGGAATCACGTGACTTGATTTTATGAATTTTCCGTCACGGTTGATGAATCTCTCTGGCCGAAATTCTCTCGGATTTTCAAAGTATACCTGATCGTAGTGAACTGACCACATGTTTGGCAAAATCTGGAATGTGATTGGAAGGATTAATAAAAAATATCAGAGAAATTTAAATTTATTAATAGACAAGTTTGCTTATAAACAGGTTCCGTCGCAACTCTGATCACCTAGCGTTGGCTCACATGTTGAAATCACGTTGGGGAATAGTTATGTGCGAGAAGTTTGCTTGACTCCTCGCAAAGGGTGGTTCATGTTACCGCTGGTCAGTTACGGCTTCCTCGACATCAAGTCCATGAATCTTAAACAAATGACTGGCTAAAATGTTTTACTAATACCGTGCCCGACATTGACTGGATATCGGACGAGAGTCCGTGTTACACCATATAATTAAGCTGTCCTATCGGCTTCGGAGATATTTTGGTTACTTTTCCGTAAATTAAGAAAATTATTTGCGACCATTTGAATAATTCAGATTCCATTCAGATATTCAATTCAAAATGTTCAGCCCTACACAATAGTAAAAAACGTTTTCAGTATTTGAACATTTACCGGAGTATTCTTTGGAATTGCGTATCCATTTAATACAGCATCCTCTGTTGTCTTATGCAGAACTCCCATAGGAAGCACAGTCCTATGGCGCATTATTTCTTGTAGAAATGCACAAGTGTATGGCATGTCACTCTGATGTTCTATTGACGGTATTCCACTTTCACCTACAAAAGAAAAGTTTATAATTTATTGATGTAGTGATTTTTATGTTTTCCAGAATATATTGACAAACACCGTGACTTCCACCTCTCCGACACTCCAAGACTCCATGGTGTAATAAGATAGACAGACAATGCCGATCCAGAAAAATTCTAGGATTTCAAATTATAGTACAGTATCTCCGTAACTATTTGTGGATGCTTAATCGGAGCCTTATTCAGAGTAAGCTACGTGTAATACGCCCTATAAAAAGTTCTAAGGCTTATTTATAGTCGCAAACCGGGCAAGCAATGCAGATACGAAAAATTCCGGGTTATCGTCACGTATTAGTGAGAGGCATCTTGTTTCGAGTCTTGTTCAAAGCAAAACTGAGAAACACCTATATTTCTGACAGTCGTTTCAAATATTTCAAGTCAAAGATTAGGACTTACTGTTGAATTTATGCAACCTTTTTTGGATAAAGCTTCCCAGCTCAGTTCGCGAGCGTGATGTCCCAGTGGGTAAATAACAAATCGGACTTGACTATTTCAGTAATTTATATCTCGTGTTCAAAACTTCAATGATGTATTAAATCGGCAATGACGAACAGCATGTTTTTCATCGTAGTAGCTCCAATTGGATACATATATAGAGATTTGTTTTTAGGGTGAAATGCGCTAAAACGCCTTAAAAAGGGCAAAACGTTCCCCTTTTACCGCAACAATGTTATTGAAGAGTTGAACTCAAAATTTCTAAAGTTTCCCTATTCTCGCAAACTGGTCATACAATGCCGAAATGAAAATTCCCGATACGTAATAATAAATGCTCAGTGCCCTGTTCAGTGTAAAATACGCGTAACTAAGCTGAAAATCTCACCAATAGTTGCAGCGATCTCTTCATAGATTTTCTCTTGATGTTCCGGGTACTTGGCAAAGCACAGCAGTGACCAACATAATGTACTGGCTGTAGTTCCTGTTCCTCCATCAATCAAATCTCTGATGTATTGAACAAGCTCTTGTTTCTAAAATTAAAGCACACGCGATAATATTCGTGCATAATTTGTATTATTAGTAACATTATGGACATGGCCAACCCTTGACCCCGAAAAATTTTCTTTCCATACTCTACTAGTGCGAATTATTATATACTTATTTCGATAGTGTTTTGAAGTGCTGGCGCTTATGAACTAGATTACCTGTTTGAAACCATCATTTTTAACAAAATTTTGCAACCATGCGCCGCTTACAGGTAGCCGATTTCAGCCAGCGTATGCGAGACACATTTTTGATTATTGCAACTAAACTAGAGGCTTCTCCAAAAACATTACAATTAGGATATATCATTTACAACTTAGAAACACAACTAAAAACTGACGAACAACACGCAAAACCACAAAAACGGTGCAATGTTTACAACCATTCTTGATTATCTGTGTCTGAGCGATAGAAGTGCAAATGCAATTGTGTCGTTATTAATGACTTCTTGGTTATTGGTTACTGTTAAGGAAATAATCAAGGAAATCGATGATCGGGACAATGGCCATACTCTCTGAATTAGATCGTATTGGTACTCAGCAAGAATTGGTCAAAGCTAGCCAATTTGTCGTGGATACTGAGAAGAACAGACATCGGGGGGACACTAGATTCATGAGACATCGAACCACTAGGGCATCCACAAGATAACGGATTTCCCTGCGTTGTTGAATTTATCAATGAAGATGCATTACTCACATTGAAAACTGGATCGTCACCTCCCCTCTCCTTCATTTCCCATAAGAACGCATCGATGAAATCTCTGATATCATTTGCATTGAAATTTGCCTCATGCTCAGTTATGATGTCTGCAAAGTAACCTGATCAGAAACAACAAATATAAACATCAACAGCCGTAAAAAACAATATATATTTCAAGGTATATTCAACCTTTGAGATGCGATTTCTAATTTTCATTCCGGAAAAACCTATCCAGTTGCTCGTTCCAGATTCTTGAACTTGGATGATGTGTGGGGTCGCCACAAACTACCGTTCATTTATATCCCATTCTTTCACGACAGAATCATTATTGTACCTAACCCGCCTACGGTAATCCGTAGCGCGATAAAAAGTATGTTTCTAACTCAATAACTGAAAAACATTTACCAGATGGCAATGCCGTTTATTCAGTGCTTGTTTAGTTCTACTCGTAGATAATGTTCGACCATTGCCTGATTTCTCTTCACTTACCCAGATGACTTTAAAATTTTTCGTTAAAATTTCCCGACTCCCAAACAAACTATATATTCCATAACACCCTGGTTTAGGGTGGTCCAAAATGCGGCCCGCCGACACATTCCGGCGGCCCGCAGAGCAATTTTAGCGTACACTACTAAACCATTGGCAGATATTTATATTTTTCAGCAAAACCATTTTGATTTATTTTAAACCAACTTCCAACTGGAAATTATCCTTTCCCTAATCCCGATGTCGGGTTTGATGTTTTTTAAAACCACAGAATTTCAATGTTGTATCTATAAACGTCAAGACTTGTGCAGACGGTGCAAAGGCGATGGGATGAGCTCGCGTCAAGTGGGGTGACTCATCATTTGAAAAGGCGTTTTGTGCCTTTATTTGAGTAATAACATTCCTCTATTTTCAAGCGTTGGCCATGTGACAGCAGTGGCAAACCGCAGAGCTGACTTAGCTCCGCGCGATCTATTTTTTATTTTATATATCGGGGTCCGAGGTCTCAACTAAAACAGACTTGCTTGTTTTTTGACGGTAGCACTTGGTCTGCTGACTCCAATATAATCAAATATAACAATTCATCATACAATGAGTGTAGAAAGGTGACCGAAGTAAACTGAGAGTAAACGTATTTCCTTACCCACAACAACGTTAAACCACAGTGTCTGGTGTGTTTTCAAGTAATATCCGTCACGAAAGAATATAATTTTGAGCGACATTACAAAACCAATCACCAGAAATGATACCGAAAATAGAATGATATTTCTCGAGAAACAATTTTAAAATATCTAAAGCTTTGTATAGTTTCACTGAAAAACTGATTAGAACGATAAAGTCTCATTCTTAAATACATTTAAAGTGAGTAAACTCGCGATGTTTTGATCACTTTTGGGTTGTCTCCGACCGCGGCCCGCGAGACGTCCTCAAAAGTTTTTGCGGCCCTCCAACCTCGCAACCTTGGACCACCCTGCCCTAGTTAATGCACTGCCCAATTTCCTCTTAATAGGAATAAAAATAACTGAAACTACTATTTATACCTTTTCAATCACTAAATAACTTGAAAACATTTAACATTATGTACTACTGCTACGACTCATTCAGTGTCTTCTCGTAGGTAATGTATCAAGCATTGCCCGATTTTTCTTCACTTACCTAGATAACGTTGAAACTCTTTGTCAAAATTCGCAACAGCAGATTTAAAAGGAGGAATGAATCTCATTTCCGGAGCAAACATCATTAGTGGTATAATTTTTGCTTCAGGACGATTGCTAAAACTGAAATACAAAGATCAAAACAGAAATGTATTTTGTAGTAAGTACATGTAGTTTCAATGAAGATTTAGACGGGGGAATTTTGTCGTTATTGGTGAGGAATTTTGCTTTGTATTTTCTCTAGTATTACTTTTATCCCATAGTTTTTTTTAATTTTACTGTATTACTTATTTAGGCACAAATTATAAACTTCTTAAACTCTAAGTGTACTAAAGCGGGAGTGCGAAGGACGATTGATAAAACTAAAATACAAATATCAACGAATCGCTACAAATTTTAGTAACTTATGGCCAGAGGCTTTCTCGAGAAGGACAGAAACAAATAAATTGATAGTAACTCAGTTTCAATTTAACAGCTATTCAGAATGAATCGTCTAAATCAGATATATTTTGATGAAAAATATCAAAATAATTATTGATTGTTTCCCAATATCTTCTTACTTTAATAATTTTATTAACATTAATTTTTTTTTTCACAGGGAATTTTTGAATGCCACAAATCAAATTGTATGAAACATTCTATGCCTGGCAGTTAAATATGCTAATTATAATTACAATAACATCGTATATTATGAGGTTATCATCTTCACTAAAAATAAGGCTTTTGACAAACAGTTACAAACAGATGAAGAGCGATGACTACGTCGCTAATGGCCGAATTGTATCGAAACGGACATAGCCTACCATTGTTCTCCAAACCCCAATATAATATAAATACACCATGCAAGTGAGTCATTGAGCAAAATGGCACGTTTTAGCGCTTTCGTTAATCAATTTTTAATTTATTTATCTACAAATTCTTACAATTTATTCCCGATTTCAATGATGTCGTTGAATCTTTTGTCTTCATATTCAAATCTAGAACCAAATATGACTCGACTAACAATGTTGCAAACAGCTTCCGATATCTTGATCTGGTAAAGGTTAAAAGGTGATTATGCAAATAGATAAAGGATTCGTGGACTCTGCTATGCAAAAAAAAAAGTGATTAATTATAAAACAAGCCGGTAGGCGCTTAATGTGGATCTCCGCCATTGCTTTAGGCCCGCGATACACTCGTTTTACACTCCAGCAAACCGTTACTATCCAAGCAAAATTGCTAACTTATGACGGCATCGTTAAGCGTACCGCAGCGTCCGGGATACCACTACTGTCAATTCATTTTGAACGCTGATCGTATCTCAGACCTTTTACGCATGCAATAACGGTTACCGAAACTGACTGTTACCGAAATTGCCTGATTATTTTGAACGCTGTGCGTCTGCTTTTCATCGTTGCGTTGCATAATACTAGGATGACAGGTTGACCCACATGAGAAATTTCATCTAAATTGATCCAGCCGTTTGGAGGCTACATCTAAACAGACAGACAGATACACAGACAGACAGAACGACTGAGAATAAGGGTCTCCTATAGAGCGGAGATCCAATAATTATTGAATAATATTACGTTTTAAAATTATATTGAAATTTTTATTCAGGGTGATCTGAACAAAAAACAGATCATTTGGACCATACAAGAAGAAGTTAATGTTATGTCAAATAATTTTCCGTTCATTTTCATAAAATTAATTAAGAAATTTACAGGTTTCGGTGTTTGAGGCATCTCGGATATTTTCTGTACAATTTAAATTAGTGTAAATGTGCTAAATTTTCACAGAGCTCCAATGAAAAGAAATAATCTAACCAATGTTGTGTCGAGTAGATAAATATAGAAAACTATAAACCGGGAATCGTAGAGCAAATTAAACCGAATTATTCCCGAAAATTTGTTCCTATATAACATCATTCGTACACCATCACATAACCCATTGTGCACTAATTCGGGTAACACCGAAGTTTCCGGTGCTTGCATAGAGCTTTGTTCAGAGTGAAGTCGTATAAAAGGCTTGGTTTAATACCTGAATGCCATACCTGGATAGTTTTATTTCCCGAGCTGGTCAAGCTTTCCAACAGAAAGGGAATTTCTTCAATAATGTGTTCTTCCATACTTTTCTTACCGACTCCGAATCTACAAGAAAAACGATGAATAGTTTTAAAGCGTTAGCAGGCATATCAGTGATCACTTTGGCATTTCAGAGTGTGTGACCTCGATTAAAGCAAATTTAAATGTAAAACCGGACGCATACAATATATATAAGAGCTGTGAGCAAATCGGACTCTTGCATTTAGAATTTTTCGCATCATTTCGGATTTGATATTTTTGTTTTCTTGATTTGATTACTTCCGAACAAATTACTGACAGAAAAATGCAAAATGAGTTGTCCAGATCTTATCCTCACCCTTTCAATGCCTGGTTGCCAAACTTCCGCAACGTTTTCCACGCCGGTCCATAATCAACACCTACAAGTCCTTTTCCTTTTGTTATTATTTCAAAGATGTAGTTGCTCGGCCTCCCAGAGAACTTTTCCCCTTCTTTCAATAAAGCCTGAAAAAACAATTTTCCTATTTATGATTCAAGGTTTGTGTTGGATGAATGTGCTGAACAAAGACATGCGTGGGAGTGCAGGACAAATGGAGAACAACATTGTTGAGTCACCGAACCATATAGACATTGTATCCACTAGATGTCGGACTGCCTCTGTCCTACGCTGTTGTTTACTTGACTGTTTCGGCAGTTGCAAGTCTCGGATCCATTACATTTGAACCCATGACAATTTCACCTGTATACTATTGCACCTATGGAATTTTTTTTGTTTTACGGATATTTGAACCCATACTAACCCTAACCCATGGTTTTAGCACCCGCATACAGATTGAACCCGCGGATATAAACATGGGTTCAAATGGACGGTCACCGCAAGTCTCGTATAAACCACCATTAGTGGAACTATATATAGCTCATATTCCCCTGAAATAACATTAATAGTATTTCTATAGCTTGTTCAGACAAACACTAATAACATAAAATCTGAGAATTGGTCTGACAAAATCGTAATCAGATGGTAACATTGCCAAACTGTCGCAATATATTTCTAGTGCCGCTACAAATAATGCTCTATACAAGCTGTAGCCATATGTTGAGCAATTTAACAACAACAATAACATTACCATAATAATTTGGCGCTCCAGCAGTGTGTGTACCAATATGGAGGTAAAAAATTTTGTTCGCCTACTTTACATCAAGTTGTATTCACTCGACTAACACTTACAGTCTGCAAACTCAAAATAGAACGAAAATATGACAATTGGAATAAAATTATGGCCTAACCCTAACCTGGTACTTACACTACGGGAGTACCAGTACCGGAATCGGCCCCAAGTCAACAAAAAACGAGTATAAATAGAAGTTTCTCGAATAACTTCAATTCCGCCGCTTTTTTATTTCCGTATAGAGTTGGAATGTTTTAATTTTGATTTCGCCCTGACTTTATTTAGAATACAAGGAAGTCAACCACAGACTTGTCAAAACTTACTTACATTGTGAATCGTGTCGAAATCATTCAGTATCACCCAATATTCACGTCCAACTTGAACAGACACAACAGTACCATACTTTTCTTTTAGTTTATAAAAACTTTCACCAGGATTTGTACCGAAGAATGGGAGGTAGCCCACCACAGGAAAGCCTCTTGGTCCTGGCGGAAAATTCTTGGGCCGATCGGAATATTTGAAGTAAAGGAAAACCAAACATGTGGCAACACTAAGTAGTATTATCGCTAACATTCTTATGTAGCTATATATATATATTATATATCTAAATTAGAACACAGAGAGGGATTTTCGTTATGAAGTTCCAAACTAGGTCTCACTTGATTAAACACCTACATTATATCTGTCTAAATTGAAAAAATGAGCGATTTTTAATGTGAACCACAGACATAGCAAAGGTCTCTATAGAGAATAGATTAATTTATCACAGTTTCATCTCCACATTTGAGCTTTTGTCTTTGCATCTTGGCTTGCACAGGAATTTGAGAGTGATACGGACTTAAACTTTAGCTATTTCCCAACTCTTCTGTGCAACCGAATACTTATATATTTATTTTGTATTTATTATATATATATATATATATATATATATATATATATATATATATATATATATATATGTCTAAATTTAAACACAGTGAACGTTTTATTATGAATCGCAGAACTGGCAAGGATGTTACTTGATAAAAATTTTGTCCTGTAAACCCTATCTTGCTAGCTGCTATCTCGGTAAAGAATGAACTAATTTACTACTTTTTACCTTCGATTAAACATAGTCTGATTAATTTCTAACTTTGGTCGTACGGGAACTTCATCGTGATTTTATGTAAAGTGGATTTTGAAAATTGGCGAGCAAACTTCACGCTATTATCGAAATGTATCGGTCTCGCTGCGCGGACTTTTCGACCTACAAAATAATAAGCCATCAAAATGAGAGTTTCCTAGAGTTCGACCACATAGAAATCAAAACGATGACGTCTGTAAAGCTAACAAATATAAATAATTTCAGCTCATGAACGACAAAGTCCGGGCCATCGGTAAAAGAAACAAATTAGACTATTAAAGCAGTGCCCTCAACCTTTTTGTTATTGCGGAACCCCTGATATCATTTTTCGTATTTTATGAGACCCCAAATAGCAAAAATAAAAATAAAACACGAAATACTCGTAACACGAAATATTTGTAATTCAAATATTTCTACTTCAACAACGAAACAGAAAGAAGGTAACAAGCGTGAAATTCAATGACTAGGTTGTTCTTGCATTCCTTTGCAATCTTCTTGAATCGTGGCTCCACGGCGCTCAATGCAATACTTATACTCATGTCTACACTCTTTAAAAACTTCTTTTTTGTTTTTAATAGTTGTTAAAGCAGAAAATGCTGATTTACACAAATAGGGATTGGGAAATTGACACAAAAGTTCTAATGCTTCTTTTGCAATGGCTGTACCCTCTTTGTAAAGAGAAATCCAAAAATATTCATTTTCATGTTTTTCGAAGGTTTCCTCCGAATTAATATCATTACGGATATCTAAGAGTCCTTCTTGCTGTTGCGCACTTAGAAATTCATCCAAAAACGGAACAGAAGAATAATCATTTTTTGCAACTTTACTGGCCCAGCAGTCAATTTTTTCTTCACGCGGAACCCCATAAATTCAAGGAACCCCACTACATGTGTTGCGGAACTCTAGGGTTCCGCGGAACCCCTGTTGAAGAGCACTGTATCAGAGCATTCAGGCTGCTGTACTGTATATCTTGATATAATAACGAGCCTAGCTGTAATAATACTCTGCTTTTGTTGAGTACCTTCGCCGACATACCGTTTCGCTTTTGCAACAACATGATAATACCTATTTACCTCTAACTTTGTTTACTGAGTTTCTATCTTAAAAACTTGTAGTAGTCATGTTGCCGACCGTGCTACAACAGTTGTGGAAATATAAACAAATGAAGACACTGCCCTGAGGGGAATCGGCAATCAGTAAACGGAACACGCGACTGTATTAGTTTTAAGTAGGACGCAATCGCGTTTATGTAAAGTCGTTTGTAATATTTCAAATTTAATGATTTCGCCCTTCGACCTACAAATACTGAGGAATTCACTCACAAATCAATTATAAACCATGGTTTGGGACTGTATTTCAGTTCCAGCCTGTGCTTTCGATATTTCTTCGAATAAAATTGATCGTAACAAAAAAATGCTCAAGTGAAAAATATACCAGATTTTACTGCTTTGCTCACAGAGAAACTTATAATCAGAGGAGTCAAATTTGGACATGGCATTTCAGTTCTAGTCTGTAATTGGGATATTTTTTCATATCGAAATGAGTATTACTAAAATACGCTGGGCAAACTAACCAGGTTTTACTGCTCTGCGCAAACTTGTTGCTATGAAATACAAACATACAAACTCAACAAATAAGACGCACGTTGCGGTTGTGGCCAGTAGACCATGCAAAGAAATTCATGCAGGGTATATTATGGAGATAGAATGCTTTCATGTGGGATTAATATGTGTATCGATGAAATATATGAAACCACACGCGAATAAAGCCTTGTAAAAGACCTAGTTTTATTACATGGTGAATTTATCACACCGCGCTTTATGTGGCAGTGTAAGTCTTGTGTGGGTTGTAGCTATCCTCGAAAATCAAAATCGTTGTCTATATGGAAGCCCAATATGCATTCTATACAACAGGGGTCACCAACCTTTTCGAAGCCGAGGGCTACTTTTTGGGTACAGATTAAGCTGCGGGCTACCAGTTCAATGTACACTTCTAAAAAATCAGTTGCTCGATTAAGCTTCAATTATTGATATAATTACTGGTATTTAGTGAAGTATAGACACTAATAAACTTTAGAATTCTTCAGGAAATCAAACAATTATAACAACGTTGCAAATAAATTTCTATCAATAACACTTGTATTTCAAAACTGAGTGTTTTCAAATTGATTTTCAACACTCTGCACAAGTCTAAGATAAAATGTAATTAACAGTTGTACTATCAAATGTTGAAGAGTATTATACTCCGACGTGTAATTTGACACTGTAACTCTGAGCGAGTCTTGCAGATTTTCTTCAGTGAGGCGTGTTCCATGTTTGTTCTTGGTGGAGTGAGTCGCGGCGTTATGGCCCATCGTGTCAAGCGTTAGGTTCGCATGTTAGAATCCCATGCGGGGATAGTTATGTGCGAAAGGATAGCTGGACTCCTCGCCGCCGTAGGGTAGTTCACGTAACCGCTGGTCGGTTAAGGCTACCTTCGCCATCAAGTCCAGGCTTTCGAAAACGAATACCTAACTAATCCCATACCCGACATCGAATGGTAACCAGCAAGAAGCCATGGTTTGTCATATGGTTCAGCCGTCCTATCTTCTTCCCCGGGATAAATATGTAAATCTCCTCCTATCCTGAGTTTTTGTCAAAAATGTTGATTCGAAAGGATAGGTTGAAACAAACGATGGTCTCGTAAAATAAGATTGCTGTATGATTTAAATTGCGAGCTTTTTCTGTCCGTACTGTGCTGACCAGTTGTAGTTAGCGCGGAAGATTACGTGACAAGATGTGAAATATCTCTCTGCTTTGCCGTCGCTAAAATCGCCCCACTAATGAGACACACGCAGGCTGTTTTCATGGTGGTATAAATATATCCACCTCCCATTCATCGTGAAAATGATGGGTTTTTCTTCGGAATCAATAATTGTATTATAACTGCTCCGCTAACCAACGAACAAGAAAAAGCGCGGGTTCGTGGAAAGTGACCTCAATGTGATGTCATAATTGGAAGAGTGTTAATTGACCCGTCACATTACTGAGGTCAAAGTAAAATAAGGTTGATGGTTACAATAATTAATATAGTGTCATTTCTAGTTTCAATATAAGTGTGATTTATACTAAAATAGCAGGACAAAATATAATTGATCTAGCTTACTTATAAGAGCCGTTATTAAGCTTAGTTTGGAACAGACCTGCGGGCGACTCATATGGTCTTCGCGGGCGACTTGGTGCCCGCGGGCAACGCGTTGGTGACCCCTGCTATACAATCTACAGAGTAAGCCATCCAAATGGAAATTGCAGTCAATATATCTATCTCTATGGCATTCTCTCAAAATCACTGCTTAGCTCAAATTGAACTTTCTGGCGATTTCGCAGATTAAGTTTCATCAACAAAATTGATGTTCTTACCCTGTTTTTTTTTCACTAAATCGAAAGTCCACCATGATCTTTGCGCTGTTTTGTATTGGATAATCGCCATTTAATTTTGCTGACTATAGATTTAAGGACTTGCAATTTATCAGGTGGCAATCTCCTGTTTATTGCATCTCACAACTTACAGATAATAAATGTTTTTATATTCGAAGTTATCCCTGATTGACGATATGCGTATTTGATGGCACGGTTCTGAAAATTGTTTCCAGTGAAATTAGGCCATGAATATCTTAGATATTAGTACAGTACCAATATGAGATAAAATTACTATTCTTCACTGCAATACGTTCAGTATACGTTCGATATTTAATCATTGTTTCTCATACCCAGTCTGCTATCAATATGTCTGTCTCATTCTGTAATCTAACAGGAAATCGGACCTCATTCATGCGATTTGATCATTGTTTCTTGTACATAGTCGGCTCAGTATGTCTGTCCTAATCTGTAATAGTCCAGTGGATAAGAGGTAAAATCACGCACTTTTGGAAGCAAGCATGAAACTTGGCACACATGTACAGTATCATCCCCTGATCAATTTTGGATATGATGCCATCTGAGAAAATACCTCGTTGCCATGGAAACGAGGCATCATCCGTATTGCTATTTAAGTGAAATGAACATTAATTTATAAAAGGATATTTTCAAGACAAGTGAACCGATGTGTATATAAGAAGTGAAGAATATGATCAGAAGTGCATTTTGACAATTTCCCTTGATAACAGAATACCTGGTTACCATGGAAACAAGGTTTCATTATCGACCAAACGCGATTATTTGTCGCACAACCTGTATTTTCTGTTATTGTCATGAATCACAAATTAATTAAACTACATTCACTTTCAAAATGTAATTCCTTTTGTGCTCAATCAACTGACAATGGTATACTTTTAAACTCATAGCCACGTAAAGCTGGTGAAAATATAAAATATATATCTTATAGCTGACGGATTATTGTTATCTTGGAGCTATCATATCGTCATCATATATTTTAATAAAAATAAATTCATTTCAGTAAATAAATTCATGGAGTATATCAGCCAGATAAAAACGGAAAACTTGCATTATATTTCAGCTCAAACTCGGCTGGAATCGTTGATTATTGTAATCTATATCTAACGTCGCCGTATGTAAGTGCTACAATAAAAAATAAATAGAAAAACGATTGAAATATTTATATTTTCCAAAAATATATTCCACAAAGACTCCCCAATAACTAGTGGGGGCGATTTTACTATTTAGATATATACTCCTGCACTTTTGGATGCAAGCATGAAACTTGGCACACATGTGCAGTAGCATTCCCTGATCAATTTTGCAATGTCAGTCGTTATTTCCGCAATCCCCATCACAGAAACATAGTGGTATACATGCTAAATCAGCACGGTAACCTTTGCAGCGAGCAGCACAACCTTTCTTGCAGCCAGTGTTCCCTCTAAGGCAGTGGTTCTTAAACTGGGGGGTGCGCCCCCTAGGGGGGCCCGAGATGCTCACAGGGAGGGCGCGAGAGGTCACAAGATGGATTCGCAAATTTACATGTAACGGCTCTTGAAACGGTCTCCGCGTTCGTTAAAACTACCGGCTTTTTCGTGTTATAATAAATTTTTCTGTTTTGTAATAACTACAATAATTCAAAATGTCTCTCCATTTTAATTCATTTGTGTTCAAAGTAACTCGCGGTTGCGGCGACTCACGACAAAATATACCCATTACCTATCTAAAATACCACGCCAATCCGCGGACATAATAAAGTGTGACCAACTGCCCGATTATATTTAGTTTTTATATTTATTGCACTCATGCGAATTCATTGTCGTCATTAGAAAGATCTGGTATAATATCCCAAAAGGAAATTTAAATTAAGTACGATTAAAATACATGTAAAGTATATTAGTAGATGAAAAATACATATTCATCGACACGAAATCCCCGCGGTACGGCTCCTGAGTCAGTTCTCGAGATTACGCCAGTCGTTAGAAGAGCCGACTTTTTCAACGGATATGTAATGGTTTTTCTGTTAATAAAAAATTCAATCCATGATCGAAATACTTATTTAAAAGGGTTGCTTTATTCATTTAATTGTGATAAATTAAATCTGCGATTGCGTCGATAAAATAAAAGCACCACTACTCCTAAACAACACGGTAATCCGCAACCATAAAAATGTCGATTACTTTTGGTTTTGATTTGTATTCTTGTTAATTTCACCAATATGAGCTGTCCCTGCAACTCCAACTCCGCTCTATCGCAATGCCGCCACTCGATTAATTTCAATATATCACCGTTATAGATATTTCTAAGTCTGCGATCCCACGGAGTAAAATTCATTTCAAGTCTGTAATTTTAGAACACTATTGGTATGCCGCACGCACAAGGAATTTATGAGATTTTCAAAGTCTGAAAAAGTGTTTTTAATCTGTCGCGATCCACCCCAAAACGAAACTCATGGCGTTTTCCGTTTTATTTTTAGTATTAGTATTTTATAATGCCACTTCTACAGTAAAGAAATTTTTAGTTACAGATTCACTTCTTTATTCTATCTTTAGCATCTCGTCGCTGATGATTATATAATAAAAACTAACTCGTTTTCCTCAGAGGTGTCATGGTTCCATTCGAGAACAAATAAGTAACTTTAATCGTCTTCGCGGCACAAGAATATGTCAAGGGAATATGTCGGATTTAGGGAGAATAAACACCGAAATCAAGATTTTAAGGGCTTAAATAACACGCCACGCTAACGTAAACAATGGAGATTTAAACAAAATGCAATCGCAAACGCCTTATCGACTTTATTTTTCAGCGGTCAGGGGCCGGGGAAACGTCCACATGCATAATAACTATTAAAAAATGAACTGCTTTTAAATTTACATAAATTCATTTGCACTTCTCCATTTTGTTTGAAACGTTAGGCAAGCCAAGAAGTCTGTAATTGTTGCTTATTTTTAACACACAGTAAATAAATTTCACATTGCTCAATAGTGATGAGGTAAACAATTGATTGAAATTTTACGTGTCTTATGTGAACGTTTAGGCAAAAAATACATTAAAGCATAGGTGTATTGCTTGTTTAGTTTTACCTAATAATTAGTTTGACTTTGCCAGGTATTAACGAGAATGTATGATGACCAACCACTATTTGGCTTTATACATACGACAGTGAATGGCGAAGTTGTACTCCGAAGCGTTCCATGCCTGAACAATCTGAGCAATGACGCTATGAGACCAACACTCTTATAGCGCCATCTGAATATATAACAACCTGTCCATCACAAAAGCATTTTTTCAAAGCAAAAATAGGGGGGGGCGCGAAGTTTGCAAAATTTTTCAAAAGGGGGCGCGACTCAAAAAGTTTAAGAACCACTGCTCTAAGGTGTGCGCGCGCACACAGATTTCAGAGGCTGCGCACACGCATGGATTTTGCTGCGCACAGACGTATTTCGATGTAATGTAACAATGTGCTTGGTTGGCAGGTTGAGAAAGTTTGTTGTCGGCCCACTTATTACCCGATTAGAACGCCAAAATTTCTTCATTGGTTTTTGCACAAATATTAGTTATTTACAAAAAAGTGCGCATGCACCAAAATTTCTGCGCACACATACTACAAAAAATTAGAGGGAACATTGCTTGCAGCCACAATGAATCAGCTTTGTGCAAATTTTTGCTGCTTCAGGGATAGTCATCCATCTTGGTAAAAATTTGTTTCCTACTTTTTCCCATCCCCATCTCTGTGCATCAGGTAAATTTTGTGAAACCTCTGTTGCTTTGCTCCAAATAAACACACCTTGGAAGTTTGCTCTACGTATGAGAATTTGATGTAGGGGGGATGTTCTCTGGAATTTTCCTTTTCTTTGTAAACAGATGATCTCGTAGCTCATTAACCTGAAGAGAAATAAAATATTATCCGAGAGGAAAGCTTCTGCTTCTGAAGTTTGTTCAATATCCAACGAGTCTAAATTATTTTTTGGCTCATCTAGCTGGCACATGTCAATAGATAAAGGTCAAAATGTTGTCGATTCTAGTCATCAATCAGGATTCAACCGTATTTTAACATCTATCTAACATCTGGGTAATTGATAAGTTCAACTGCACATACCTTCGACAACATACTTCTCCGATCGTAGGGCAGAACGATGAATCTTTCAATCATTTGCATGCATTGTGCAGGCACTTCGCTTGTCCCCTCTAGCTTCAGTAGGCTTAACAGCGTCTTAGTCAGATCTGGAAGATTTTCCCACGTCGTCCAAGCCCTATTTTTGCCATGACCAAGGAAGAAAGACGTTGTGTCACATCCTGTTAGAGCGTGAAATAGGGGTAAACTCTGCGACTTTTCTTTCCCGAGCTTCTTGGAAATTCCATGAATCGGTAGAATCCTTGGATTCTTTCCTGTTCCGAACATGATCCAGAGTGCTGAAACTTCAACTTCATTAACAACCGCAACTGCAAGTGCAACAACGTCAGTGTCCACAGTTCGTATCAGGATTAAACTATAACCTGATGCAGCAGCATCTGCAACATGTACCATCATTCTCGTGTCCGCTTCCTCGTGTGAGCATAGTGCAAGAATGTGTGTTTCCCTTGTTGGATGACAAACGACCCTTTATATTAGAGTAACAATCAGCTATGTTCCTCCTGTTTCTAGGTCTCCAGCTTCCATAGACAGAAAAGAGAAAAGCTCCTTCTTATTTTCATCTAATCTCAAAAATGCTTGCCAGTCAGTGGGCAGAGGTGCTGACGAATGCACCCTTCTACGTTGGCCTCTTCCTCTTCTTTCTCTCGAGCCTGCTTTTAAGCTGTAATCAAAATAATCATCCCACACTAAATCGACTCGTTGAGCTTTATTGAGCCATGATTTTAGATGTGGAAGAAACATCAAGATACTGTAATCTTTGAATGTTTTACAATTTTTCGTATGTACACCACTATGTTTCTGTGATGGGGATTGCGGAAATAACGACTGACATTGCAAAATTGATCAGGGGATGCTACTGTACATGTGTGCCAAGTTTCATGCTTGCATCCAAAAGTGCAGGAGTATATATCTAAATAGTAAAATCGCCCCCACTAGTTATTGGGGAGTCTTTGTGGAATATATTTTTGGAAAATATAAATATTTCAATCGCTTTTCTATTTATTTTTTATTGTAGCACTCACATACGGCGACGTTAGATATAGATTACAATAATCAACGATTCCAGCCGAGTTTGATCTGAAATATAATGCAAGTTTTCCGTTTTTATCTGGCTGATATACTCCATGCCAGAGTTAAGCGAATGAATTTATCTTCATTAATATATATGATGACGATAGGATAGCTCCAAGATAACAATAACCGTCAGCTATGAGATATATATTTTATATTTTTCACCAGCTTTACGCGGCTATGAGTTTAAAAGTACACCATTGTTACATTACATTTTGAAAGTGAATGTAGCTTAATTAATTTGTGATTCATGACAATAACAGAAAATACAGGTTGTGCGACATATAATCGCGTCTGATCGATAATGATACTTCGTTATCATGGTAACCAGGTATTCTGTTATCAAGGGAAATTGTCAACATGCACTTCTGATCATATTCTTCACTTCTTACATACACATCGGTTCACTTGTCTTGAAAATATCCTTTTATAAAGTAATGTTCATTTCACTTAAATAGCAATACGGATGATGCCTCGTTTCCATGGCAACGAGGTATTTTCATGGATGGCACCATATCCAAAATCATTCAGAATATGCTACTGCACTTGTGTGCCAAGTTTCATGCTTGCTTCCAAAAGTGCACAATTCCATCATTTTTGAGGTCTTATGGACTATAAGCTAATATGAAAGCTTCTCATCTCACGATTTCCAAAACGGTCTGTTCTAATGCCATACAACATTAGAACATAAATCAAAAGCAGTTCATCGTGCCGCGACGGCGCGCACAGAAAACTGACAAGTAGTTCAATATTGGTTAGGCTATGTCGAAAGGTGTTTAAGTATTACATACGCGTACATATCAATACCAGATTTATATGAATTTGCAAACAACTCCAAAATTTTGCAAACAGGAAAATCTGTTCATGCTCAAATACATACTTGCCTTATATATGAAAACGAGTTAATTCCTCGTGCTATCGTGGTCTATATCAAATACCACAAACAATTAGGCAATAGGCATACACAAAAATAGCTCAGTATATAAAAATATCACAGTAAAATACCACAATATCAACAAAAGGCTTACAGGTCGCACAGATTCCGGGGATAGTATGCTGAGCGAGCACAAGATCCCTCCAGTATTTGGAGGTGTAATTTGCGATAGTATTGTATTATCCGTCGACCAAATGGTCGCGAAAGTGGAATTTCTCAGTGGAAATTTAAATCTTATTATCAACATTGCAAAAACGTACTTTGCTTGACCTATGGCCTGAATGTCGCATCCAATGTTCCATCTAATTTTTATTAGTATGTGTGCGCAGATATTTCGGTGTGTGCGGACTTTTTTGGAAATGACTAATATTTGTGCAAAAACCAATGAAGAAATTTTGGCGTCCTAACCGGGTAATAAGTGGGCCAACAACAAACTTTCTCAATCTGCCAACCGAGCACATGTTTACATTACATCGAAATACAAATGTGCATACTAAATCTATGCGTGTGCGCGGCCTCTGAAAGCTGTGTGCGCGCGCACACGCGCACACCTTAGAGGGAACACTGGGGCCTTCCTTTTCAAGGATTAACATATTTGATTGCACGTCCTCAATGTTGTTCTAAATGCAGAAAGATTTCCACCCTTCCCCACTGAGATACGAGATAAACCAATACGTTGTTCTTGTGCCTATTAACTTAATAACTTCGCATAACTTGATGTTTCAAGGTTAGACATGTACACCATCTCACCCAGTGTCTAAGTTTGCAAACTTTTTAATTTCGTTACCACTAAATCGAGTTACCAAAAGCTCAATTAATTAACCCCTTTCATAAACATAAAATTCCCAACAATTTATCAAATCTAATACCAACAACGATCGCGTAACTTCGCAGTTGTGGTTCAGGAATCATGGCATTCACGGCAAGTGACAGGGCGATTGATAACCGGTCTGAGGACATCGTTCTTCAGTCTTCATGTTCTTGATTTGTGCGATTATTAAAATTTGTTTTAGCTGGAAAATGTTTAAACAAGTTAATATGAACCGAGTTTCTATAAAATGGCGGTCAAAGTGCTAGAGTCAGTGGTTCGCAAACATTTTGAGTCGCGCCCCTTTTTCTCAAAATTTGTAAAGTCTCGCACCCTACCTCCAAATAATAGATAGTAAGCTTAGAGTATGTTTTATTCAAATAATACTTTGAAAATACGTGTACATATTTAAGAAATGTAAATATCAAAAAATACGGCGGGTAAATTACAATCTAAACATTTTTATTTTTAATTAGCTTTACGCCCACTCAAAAATTGTTTACGTCTGCCTTATGTGGCGCACCCCATCGTTTAAAAACGACTGTTCCAGACTTTACTGGTATCAAAGGTCGTACATCTTGAGTCCAATGCCCAGCACCTCACCCAGAGTGTAATAAATTCGGAAGTCAATAGGAAAGATTCCGTTCCTCACACGAATAATAGCTTGTTACATAACATTAGATATCAGTGGAAGCTTATATAATGTTTTGTTTGAAGCAAAAACGGCATATAAGAATTGTGTAAAAAATCTGTCTCGTAATTTCTGTATTTGTTAAAATATTAGTACGAGTAAGCATTGATGGAAAGAAGCATTATACAATTGACCAGTCAATGAGTTAATATTGCTACTCGGCGATAAGGTTGTTGCACTTTTGTGAAAAAAACTTTCGCGCGAATGAATGATCTGAAGAATAGCCAGCGCGTTGGGTAAATTGAAATTCTCGGCTTTTGAAATTCTGATATCCCCTATATCAAAAGCCCACGACAAACAAACAGGAGGATATTTTTTTGTTTGCATAAATACCTACCTCATTAGCGCTCAGCAAACGATCGGTACGAAGCACTAAAACGTTGTCTGCACCCTCCATTAATTCTCATCACATAATACGTTATATTGCAGGGTAAATTTATTGCTGTAACAATTCAGAAATTGTTCCTAATTATGGTATGGTTATTCAGAATATATTTATTTTCATCCGACATACAAAATAATGTTTACATCGCGTGAAACTAATGCTGGAACTCTACCATTACTTCGTGCGTAGTATCGATATCACACTGCAATCACTGTAAAGTTACTGATTTGTTATGTCCATAAGTTTAATATGCAACTTTTTTTCTTCGCTACTATTTATTCTGGCGATGAAAACTAATGAGTTGTGTATTAAATCCTACCGTAGCATTTATGCACATCAGTAATGAATAGACGTAATATTGATGCTTTCTAGTATTATTGTCAGGAGCAATGGGATACATAAGCTTCTGCCGCAAATTAATCAAAAATATTTACACCAGAAGAGAAATACAGCGAAGTTTTCTTAAGAACGCATGGTTGAGCTCTCTCATATCGCACAACTAATACGTAATCAAAATTATAAGCTAAGTTATCTGGATCCTAGAGGACTATTTTACTCTTCATAAGTTGTTTAAGACTTTGGTTCTGAACTGAGAATCAGACAAGCAGGCATTAGTAGAATGTAGATTAAGCGATAGAAGGGGAACCAACCAATTTATTACCCGCTGTATTATAGCTCGGAACTTGGTCGAGAAAAAGGGGCAGGAACAGGAACTAAAGGAATTGAACACATTATGAATTTATCTAACACTATAACTGAATCTGTAGATCAAAAGTCAGTTTTAAACCAAACCTACTTTTCAAAGACGGAAGAAAGAAATTTTACCCTTTGTTTTGACTTATTTTTTAATAAATTTATTTTAAAAAGAGCGAAATTGGAAATATTCTTCTTTTACTTTGAACAAAGAATCAGACAAGCAGACATGAATAAAATATGTAGGTTTAACGAAGGAAGGGGAACTGACCAATTAATTACCAATCAGTTTTGAACCAAACATACCAAACCTACTTTTTTAAGACGGATTGTGAAATTTTGTTTTGATTCTTAAAAAAAATTTTCTTCCAGTAAGTTTGGTTTAAATTATCTTGATTTGAACTGAAACTGTAGAACTGTAGAAACAAACTGTAGAATTAACAAATTTGAGAGAAATCTGAAAGTGTAGAAAAATGAAAAAAATTCGTTACTCCTGCTAAGTCAGCATTGTTATGCAAGCGCGCCGCTTCTTTGATCCTCAATGACCTGGGGGTCGGCAACCTTTTGTCGCTCGCGGGACAAAATTGAGGGTTGCAAGTTATTGGCGTGTTGTACATAGTTTCAGAAAGTTGAAAACCGAACGGATGATACTTTTTATAATAAAAATCAAGCAGTGATACATCTGTCGAGTAGAATATAAATTTATTTGCAATGCATCTCAAAAAATTCCATTTGAATATTTTCGGCGCCATTGAACCCTTTACTTTTGCCCTTAGCATCAACGTTTTGTTGCCATTTGTCTAATTATAATTAAATTGTATGCTCAATAAACGAGTAATTGTGAATTTTATACTTGTTAGATTATACTTTAGTCTACACGGGTCTCACAATAAATTCGGTTACGTAAAGTCATTATAATCGTCAAAACAGCTGTTTTGTTACTATAATTCAGTGGAGCGTCGTGGGCCGGATTATATTACTACGCGGGCCGTAGGTTACCGACCCCTGCGTAATCTCTCGAAATTGTGAGATTTATTTTTCGCACTAATTTTAGTAATTGCGTTTCGAATTGAAAGTCTAGAAAAGTGCAACAGATATTGTACTTTGATTGAAATTGGTGCACTCTTTACGACCCTTAAAATTTGTTGCTATCCACTTTTTCGAATAAGGACGTGGAAAAGCAGTTACAGACTTATAAATCAACACAAGCACAAGAAGTAGTATAATACATTTGTACTAAATGTAGCGATAGGGGGAATTTGGAACCACATGTATTTCATGTTTTCTCACAGAAAGGCAATGGACCTGAAAATATAGGATAAAAAAGAACACATTGTCCCTGTCAAGAGAGCATTGTTATGCAAGCGCTCCGTTTCTCTGATCCTATTCATTCTCACGAAATTGTGAGATGTATGTTTTGCGCTAGTTGTAATGATTGTGTTTTGAATCAAAAGTCTAAAAAAGTACAATAGATATAGAACTTTGTGTGAGAAGTTGTTGCACTCATTGCGATGCCCAAAGGTTTTTGCGCACCCTCTCCCTCTGTGATTATTTGGGAAGCCCCGATTTTTATGACGCAAATACGTCCGCAATA